AAGAGTACAAGTACCTGAATTCTTCTTGAACCTAAAATATCAGAATCCCTAGGAAAAGCATCTGAAAAAGTAATCCTGAATTCTAACAAGTGCCCTAAAGTTGAACCTTAGAATTCTATGTTTTAGGACCTGGCACTATAGCCTGGTGGCTAAAGTCCTTGTCTCATGCACTCTGGGATCCCATATGGGTGCTGATTCTAATCCTGGCAGCCCTGTTTCCCATCTAACTCCCTGCTTGGGGCCTGGGAAAGCAGTCAATGACGGACCAAAGCCTTGGGACCCTGCACCTGTGTGGGAGACCCGGAAGAAGCTTCTGACTCCTGACTTCAAATTGGCTCAGCTCTGCCCATTGCGGCTGCTTGAGGAGTGAATCAGTGGATGGAAGATCTTCCTCTCTGTCTGTTCAACTTTGCAATAAGAATTAACAAATGTTAAAAAGAAGAACACTATGTTTTAATCTTAGAATACTATGTGTATAAACATTAGGCAATGTGAATAAATTCTAAAAAAGTAGGGTGCGTGAAAATAATCAAATGCCTTGCAGGTTTATTCAGATACACTGTGAGGTTTATGAGGCTTGTATGAATGCAACAGATTTTCGTTTTCTGCCATAAATCAATCAAGACAGAAAATGGTTATCCTGGGGTGTTGGGTAGTCTGCCTTCACCAGTGTAGGCTATCCATTAGTGGCACAAGTCTTATACTCTATCATTTCAATCAATCTCTCCACCAAGTTAAAGCAGGCCTTATATGGATAGCCAACATTCCCCTAAAGCTGCATTATTATAACAGAAAAAGCTGATTGACTAATGAAAGATAACTGCCAACTTGTTGTATGGACTACATAAAGCCTGCTCTCCTCATCACTAAAATTTTCTCAATGAAAAAATGATCTAACTGGGTGGGGCTTCTCCCTCAATATCTCCTTTTTGTCAGATACATGAAGGAAGCGGTATGGAAATGGTGGTCTTACCCACTTCCCTGTAGCTCTTGAACCTTTTCACCCTAATTACCTATGTAAAGATTGCCAAAATATAATAGAAAAAAATTATCTATGACGGGGGTGGGCAACACAATGGCTTAACTAATTAATACCCCACCTTCAATTTCTGGAATCCCTTATGGGCACCAGTTTGTTTCTTAGCTGTTCCAACTGTTGATCCAGCGCCCTGCTTGTGGCCTGAGAAAGCAGTGAAGAATGGCTCAAATGCTTGGGATCCTGCACACGATGGAAAGCCAGAGAAAGCTCCTGGCAGCTGCCTTCACATTGCCCCTGTTCTGGTCATTGCAGCTACTGCTGGAGTGAACAGGTGCATGGGAGTTCTTTTCTGTCTCTCCTTCACTTTGTAAATCTGCCTTTTGAAAAAAGTAAAAATTAACAATCTATATGGAACGGTTCAGTCTTTTACATTCTAGTATGCACTCCTCACTCTATCTTAGCCAAAATGCTGAGACGCAATCTAGTATTCATTCTTTATGTAATATTCATTTGAACGCATGTATTTCAAAACTGTTTGTTGAACTGAGAATCAGAGTTACATAAACAAGGGGAGAAAGATTTTCCATTGTCTGGTTAACTCCCTGGATTGCTGTAATGGCCCAGACTTGGCCAGGCCAAAGACAGAGCCAGAAGCTTCTTCACATCTCCTATGTAAATGACAACAGCCCTAACCGTGGAGCTGTCTTTCGTTTCCCAGGTGTCAGGATTAACTGAACAGATGAGAAGATGCTTAATGGAGAAATGATTTTATTAATCTACACTGAAGCCATCATCCAAACTTTCAGAGTGATGTGCCTTGTTTAAGAATACACAGGTTTTTTTTTTTTCCACCATGAAAGAAACTGGATGTTATACAAAGCTTTCATTAATCCTTCTCTTACGTGAAACTAGCAATTTCTGAATAATTTCTCTTGTGTTAGCAAAACCAAAGAAGAAATGTGCGAGAAAACATTAACACAGAGTCTCAATATGATTTGATTCATAACCTGTAACTCATGGACAGAAAGGAGAAGATAGTATGGATGCCAGGCATGCTGTCTTCTATTATTTATAACCAGAGGGAAGCACAAAGGAGAGATAACACTGAGGGGTTTGGTCTGCTTAACAAGATTAGTCACAAGCCCAGGTGTTCCTTGCCTGTGAATAGCCCCTGTGCCCACCAATGCACTGGGCTCCTTCACCAGGTCACTAGCAGGGAACTGGATTGGATATAGCCTGTGATGTAAGCTAGTACCTTTAAATTTGCTGAGACCCAAATCATAGAGTACCTATATGTGTATAAACATTAATTTTGCACTCAAAAGAGTATAACTGAATAGTTAATTCAGTTGATGCTTGATTCAGTTATACTACTGAAGGTTTAGGGTAAAGAGCCATCAGGTATTTTCAATCTTAAGAAAAAAAGCGTTGGTCCCAGGCAATAGTACAGTGGTACGATCCTCGCCTTGAATGTGCACTGGTTCTAATCCTGGCAGCTCCACTTCCCACCTAGCTCCCTGCTTGTGGTCTGGGAAAGCAGCCGAGGATGGCCCAGAGCATTGGAACCCTGCGCCGACGTGGGAGACCTGGAAAGAAGTTCCTGGCTTCAGATCGGCACAGCACTGGCTGTCACGGCCACTTGAACCATCAGATGAAAGATCTTCCTCTCTGTCTCTCCTCCTCTCTGTACATCTGCCTTCCAATAAAAATAAATAAATCTTAAAAAAAAAAAGAAACAAAGTGGTGCACATTCAGCTGTGAATATATTAAATTATAGATACAATCAGTAGTCCTGTATTGTAGCCTGTTACTTTACCCAAAACAGAAAGAACATTAAAAAACACATGTAAAAAGATTAAACTATTTAATATATGCTGATTAAAGTATTAATGATTACATTTGTGCTATTTTATTATCAAACACAAAATTCAGATACTAGTATTTTCAGTTATTGAAAAATGAACACTGTGAATAATGGTTGTTAGTGTTGGAAGATTCTTTAACATCCATATCCCAACTTAGGTACAACAGATGTGTTCACTTGATCATCGAGGAATTTAAGATACTATTTAAAGAGATTCTAGTTGATTGAAGAATCCACCATGAATGGGGTTGCAAAGAAGGCACAGAAATGTGTAGGTCAGCCTACAGAGCAAGCACCATAGTGAACGAATGAAAATGTTTGCTTACTCATGCTATATAAAAAAAAAGAGAGAGAGAAAAAAGTAAATGATGGAAAGAACATTTTGAATTCACCAAGTACTGCATAAAACACTTCTCATTGATGCTTTGAACCTGGGACACTTCAGAGAGTTTGTTCTCCACTTCCACATGCAGCTCTGTCCCACTTACTCTCTAACATTTTACGTGAATGAATCTGGGACAACCAGGCCCTTCCTTCTATCCAGTCCTGACTCCATCTTGGGACTTGCTCCTATATGAAGGAGCAAAAGCTTATGTTTTCTTTGAGTGAACCTTCGAGGACAGAAGCCAGTTTGCAGATTACACATACAAAGACTTCATAGGAGGAAGCACCTGTGAGTGAGAACAAGAGTCGGGTAGATGGGAAGGCTGGCAGAATGTTTTGCAGCAAACTCCTTCCGAGTGCATAAAATAGGCAGGGGATTCCAGTGGAATGTCCCAGAATGTCCTGTTGTCGAAGGGTGTCATTAAATTAGGATGGAGGAAAGCTTGTTAGAACTATGTAGCCCAATGTGAGGGATTTCTCAGTTCTGTAGTCAGTAGTCAGCAGTTAACTGGCTTATGTACTCATATGTCTCATACAGTACAAGTATACTGAGAGACAAAAAACAAATCTACTTACAAAACTGTTTTTAGACACAGAGCTTGAGGGTGAAGTAGAAATGTGTTTTAGTGGGTTTTATGATTTGAGACATATTACAGCTCTTTTTGGTATGATTTCCTAGATCATCAGAAACATGATTTTTACTATCATTTTGTGTTAGTTTCTCTATTTCTGTTGAAGAATTGCTATATCATCTGGCATTCTTACCTCTTGGCACTGCAAAACATGCAGCTATTGCCATGTGTCTTGCCATCACTCGCACAGACTGGATCAAATTCATTGTTGCAAATGTGGCTTGCATATGAATCACAGTTTGGCTATTGAACACGAAAGGACATAATTGAATTTATGATAAGGTTTAAATAAGAATTCTCTTTATTCTCACACAAAATTACAGATATAAAAAATAATGTGAATGTTTTAAATGATAACTTTATCCATCCTTAAGTAGATAGTTGGGTTACTTTGCTTAATTCTCTTGCTTCTTAGGGTAAATGATTCTACTAAAATATTCTGTTACATACACTGGATGCCGAGTACAACAAAGCTTACGCCCACTCACGGAAATTTTAAATAATGGAATAGTGTAACTTGTTATTAAAGCCAAATGGTGCTATACTATTGGGTAGATTAAATCTATGACTCTTAATATGAATTTCATAGGTTTTCAATAGCATATCATTTATTACTTGATGTTTCTTTTGTTTCAAAGGTGTATACTTTATTTATTGACATTATCTCTTAGAATTTATCATTTCCAACTTAAAAATTAATCAGTATTGACTTACTGGTTCTGGAACTTCTTTTTTTTGGTTAAAAGAGGTTTCTGCAAGCAGTAAACAGAAGTAAAATGTGAAAAAGGAGAAAATATGGACAATAAGATACACTATTCTGTGAATTTCTCACCTTTCTTAGTAGTAGAACTGTATGAGAATGGCGTACGAGTAATAATGCAGGCAAGTAATAAAATGAGCATTTCTGTTAGTTCTAAAACAAGACTCATTCTGTACACTTGGCATTTAGTCATCATGTTATATAATCATATGGGCAAAAATGGTAAGTATAGATGTTTCATCCCAGAGAAATAATAATCTAAGATCTTATGCCTAGTCTAATGACTTCTTTAGCTATAAAGCAGGCAATGAAAGAGAAGTGCTCCTAATCTTCAGTTTAAAAAGGTAATTTGAAATTGTCCTGTCTTTTTTTTACCAGCTGACACTTTGCAAATCGTAAAAGACAATATTGTCCAGTCATTAATTAAAACAAGGACTTGCTACATTTCAGGTATGCAAAATGTTTCACGGACAGATGGAAGATATACTCACCAGAATGAAAAGGGAATGTCAAGGAAATGATGAAAACTGCTGTGATCCATGGTGAGAAGAAAGGCATTGTAGCAAGTCTGTGGAAGAAAACTTTAACAATGTTTATAGCACAGGAATCAGTGCTCCTTGTCCACAGCATTCTCTCTCATAGTTGCAATTCATATTACACCTCCCTTCTCTCCCTTCCCTCATGTTCTCCCCATCCTCAGATACTAAAGCACACATCATGTGCACACAGGGCCTCCTAGGAACTTAGAGAACCCCAGGAAAAGTCTCCTGGAACATTTATAAAGGAGTGGCTTATGCTCCCCATCCCCTGAGTCAGGCCACAGACCATCTCCCACTTGTAAGGAAATATGCACACCAGAACCTCAGATTCTACTCAGAAAGTCACAACAGGACATTGCAAAGAAAACGGCAGGAAGGTTCTCACAGCAATGCTGGAAGCCAGAATGCTGCTCTCCATATGCCACCTGACCTACCTGGAGGGTGAGCGCAGTGTAGTGTGTGGACAACAGCTCCAGACACTGTGTGTTTTATTCACCCTTTCTTCTCAGTCACGTGCATGCAGCTCAAGAGTTCCTTTGGTTGGTAGGTTGGTGTGGAGAGCTTCATGGATATAAATGGGCTGCCCAAGGGCAGATAGGAGAGAGAGATATTTTGTGTCTTTTTTGGAGGTCATAAAATAGCTCATAAGAAATATTTCTCTATTTCTCAATAGATCTTCCCTCAGCATGAAGTTCTGGACAAGTTCATCTCAGCTGATGCATTTAGCAATCCGGGTGAGTGCAGAGAAGTGGCATTTACAGTTTATGATAAAAAAGAAGTAGAAAAGATGAAGTAGAATCTTTTATCCTATTGTATCAGAATTAGCCAAAGAATAAGATCTTAGAAAGAATTCATTTTGGAAATTCTACTTACACAGCACCTAAACTTCAAGATCAGCAACATACCAAACTTCATAGAAGTTTGATTCTGTTGGATCTTTTGAGGTTGATGGCAGATTCATATAAAATTGCATGTAGTAATGTAGAGTGTTGTTTTGTGCCATTTAAACATTTCCCTAAATGGTATGATCTTGTAAAAGTTCCACTAATTCACAATCAGGAAGAGATATTACCTGGAGACCTTTTGCCAGTGTCCAGTTATATCCCCAGCATATGAATCAATGGTTTGTGCATGAGGTCTGGACAGTGATGTATTTGAAAATCTCACAGATCAGTATCAGGGCAACTAGTGCTGGAAAACCAGATATGATGTGAAAAGCACTAAGAACATACAAGGAAGTCTGGAATATAAGCCTAAGGTCATTCTGGACAATGACCTTCATTGAAAGTTAAGCTCCAATTGTTGAGTAATGTATGAGTTGATTTTGGAAAGGTGAATTGGACAGGGCCATGCAAATAGTTCACGGACAAGTGCAGAGACCAGGTTGAGCTCAGGTCATGCTGGTCTGCATTGTCACACCTAACAGTTTGTGTGAACCAGGGATGGGAATAGACTGAACAGGGCCAGGTTCTAGTACCTGCCAGTGAATTTTGGGATTGCCAGGCTGGGTCAGGCCAGGCTAGAGCATCCAAAGGCATAGGCCAAGATTGATGAGGGAGTATACCAAGCTTAGTCAGAGTAACCACTGGCAGGCACAAGATCTATGGCTGGGAACAGGCCTGGTTCGGGAGCAATTGGGATGCCCTGACTGGGTTGTGGTTCCCACTGTGAGTGAAAAGACCAGAGTGGAAGCTGTTGTCTAGTCCTGGCTATAGTGTCTCTTGGCACAAGTGTGGTTGGTGGTTGGGTATGGGCACACTGGACTAGGCTAGACTCCAGCACCCACTGGTGCCCATGAGAACCCAGGTACATGTAAGACAGGCTAGGCTAGGTCTCTGCCCCTGCTTAGACAGATGTGAGCTGTGTCTGAGTGTGGACCAGGCTTGGCTGGGCTGTAACACTCATCAGTATAATCAAAATGGGTGAAATTCAGTCAGGAAAGGCCACTGTTACTTCTAGGACGGGAGGTGTACTAAGTAGGGCTGGCCCAAGGAGCCACCAGTGTGTGCAAGATCTGGCATTGGGAGAGGTTTGGATGGAAGAGCTTGAGCAACTCTTCTGTTGTGACATAGTCCCTTCAGGTAAGTACAAGAACCATGACAGAGAGCACCTTGGACCAGGCCAAGGAATGGTACTCAGCAGCATACATTTGGTGCAGTTTGGGGGCAAACCAGGCTGGGCCAGTTCACATCACCCACTGGCTAATCTGAGCACCAGAATGGAGTGTTGGTTCAGCCGCGTTTGGTCACAGCACAAGCCAGTTCACATGAGGGCCAGAAATGGGGGGCAGCTGAGCTGGTCTAGGCTGTAACCCCAACCAATGTGAGTTGGAATTGGGGGCAGACTGGGCCCAACCATGCTAAGGCACCCACTGGCTAATGGTGAGGTGAGGCGGGCCATGCCAGACTGGGCCACAGCACACTAGAGACCCAGTAGGACCTGCTAGACTACCACTCCCACTGGAAAGCATGAGTGGGAATAGAGGCAGACCAGACCAGGCAGGGATACAACACCTATTGGCCTCAAGTGGGCTGGATCAGGTACAAGTCAGGCTGGGCTAACTGTTCCTCCTGGTGCTTGCATAAGGCAGAGTGAGTATAACTTGGTTAGGCATTGTTGCAGCAGAACTGCCCGGAGAGTGCAAGATCTGGGAGTGGGAGTGGGCTCAGTAGGGAAATACTGGGCAACTCTCTCCTGGATTGCCACTCTGACTGGTGGGCATAAGAACCGGGACTGGGGTAGGCATGACTAGACAGATAGTGGTACCTGCCAGCATGTGTGTGGGCTGGATAGTGGGGCTGATTGGATTGAACTAGACTTCAATGACCATTGACATGTGTGAGGGCTGAATGGAAGGTGAGGCAGACTGGACCAGTCTACTGTACATACTGGCAAGCACAGAAACCAAGGCAGGGGTTGGGCCTGGTGGGGGTTATTGCAGGTCCCTCCGACTAGGCTGTAGCTCCCACTATGTATGTAAAGGCAGAGTGTGTGGTGGGCAGGATTGGGCTGGGCTCTAATACCCATTGTGTTGGCAGTGAATAACTGGGCAGTGGAGACTCAAAAGTGGGCTATGTAGATCAGTGGGTTCTGGAGAGACTTACCTTATGCAGAGACCTCATGGGAATTGAGGCCACCAGCTCTGCAGACTGACTATTTTGTTCACCCCCCTCCTCAGTTGCCACCTTCCCACTAAGTCTCTTTCATTGATACGTGAGGGAGGGGAACGATGGGAATATGGGTGATGGTCAGGGCAAACATAGTGTAGAGGTATTGTGTGTTCTCTCTGGGAGCTGCAAAATAGGTCATGATGTAGCAGGAAGGATGAGGAAGGGGAAAAATGAGCATGATTATAGATCCTAAGATAGGAAAGCAGTAAGAAAACATCCAATCAACTGAATTAAAAAGGAAAAAAAAAGTAAATGAACCAAAACAATCAGGACTTTTTATGTGTAACTAGATATGTGCCTATTACCCTTACTAGATTTTGGCAACAAAGTGGTAAACCAAATTGAGATTTTCCAATGTTTAGTTTGAATTTTGTAATATTTTGAGAAAGCAGGTTTAAAGTTGGAACAAAAAATATGCAAGGGTTATTTGATTAGACATTATCTCTAATGGTAACACCCATACAGCATAATTTCACGAAGGACATAAAAATGGGCCAAAGACTTTATTAAGAGGACTCTTTTTCATACAAAAAGCTAATACACTTATGAAAAGGTGTTGAACATCACATCATAATCAGCAGAGAACTGATAAATTCAGTAATGAGATATGGTCTCATATCAGTTCACACAGATGCTAGTTTTTTTAAAGATTTATTTTATTTTTATTGGAAAGGCGGATATACAGAGAGGAGAAACAGAGAGGAAGATCTTCCATCTGATGATTCACTCCCCAAGTGAGTCAAACGGCCGATGCTATGCCAATCTGAAGCCAGGAGCCTCTTCCGGGTCTCCCACACGGGTGCAGGGTCCCAAAGCTTTGGGCCGTCCTCTGCTGCTTTCCCAGGCCACAGGCAGGGAGCTGGAAGGGAAGCGGGGCTGCCGGGATTAGAACCGGCGCCCATATGGGATCCCGGGCGTGCAAGGTGAGGACCTTAACCACTTGCGCCACCGCGCCGGGCCCAGATGCTATTTTTTGGAAAAGAACACAAAGCTGGCAGGAAGTGCAAAATTTGGAATGTTTACCAGTTGTTGGAGGGAAAATTACTGGTACAACCACAATAAAAAATTCATAATCTACAGTTTGTAGATGAATGTTCATAACAGTACCAATGAGAGTTATGACTTAATTACCATTAAAGTCGGTCTCCAACTGGGCAGCAGGGACCCAAAGACTTGGACCCTCATCTGCTGAGCCAAACACTCACCCTTAATAGATACAGTATTGTTAAATGTCATTATTCTCTAAGCCAATCAACCAACACATCCAGTTACAGCGTGTATTAGAGAAACTCATTTTACAAACAACCTAGCTTTTCACTTTGTATTTGGGCATGTTGACAATGTGGCATAGCATTCATGTCAATGTTTGCCATGCCCATATCCCATATCAGAATGCCAGTTCATGTTGCAGCCATGCCGATTCTAACCCAGCTTCGTGCTCATCACTTTGGAAAAGGAATTAATGATGGTTCAAGTACCCAGTTTCACCCACCTACATGGGGGACCAGGCTGGAGCTTCTGACTGTTTGCATAGACCTGATCAAGACCTGGTTAGGGCAGCCATTTACACAGGGAACCAGCACATTGAAGATCTCTTCTGCTCTCTTTGCATATTTGTTATTTTATCTTCTGAGCACAGAAACATTTGTAAAATAGCAAGTTTGTATGAAATGACAAAGTACCTAAAATAGCTAACACCATAAAAAAGTAGAAAAATAATTAGGGCTAATTCAAGCTACCTGAGTCTAAGATTTACTATAAAACTACAGTAATGGAGACATTGCGGCAGAAATCTCTGAGCCATGATAAAGTCACTACTGAATGACAATTTCAATGCATACTCTGAAGGAAAAATTGGCTATCCTTTAAGCATCATTATTTGAAAATGCTAGGGTGCAAAAATAATTTGCAGGAAAAACCATGAAGGATTTGATTGTCTTATTGAGGATTTTCCCATGAAACAAGGTCATGTCTTTTACGAAAATATAAGATCCACAAAATCAGTAAAGAAAAAAGCTGCAATTCCATCACTATGTGGAAACCACATATTTTTGTATTTACTTTCAATTCTTAGAGTACCTATGTGTGTATAAACATTAATTTCATACTGAGAAAAAGGTACAATTAGTAATTGATACTTTATTCAGTTGATGCATCATTCAATTATTGAACTGATGCTCTAGGGTAAAGAGGAATTCAGGAATTTTTATTCTTAAGAAACACTAAGACTAAATGTGAATTCTCCTGTGTATGTATTTAACTATAGATACAAAGAATACTCATGTATTGTAACCCATTATTTACCAAAGCGAGAAAGAACATGGAAAAAAAATTGAGCAAACATTTAACATTTTATTGATTAAAGTATTTGTAACTAAAAATGTTGCTATGTTATTTTCAATAACAAAACTGAGTTTTTCTATGTTGTTATTGAAAAATTGAACAGTGAAAACAAAGGTCCTTCAATTACAGGTTGTTAGTGCAGGAAAATCCTTTAAAGTTCTGTGTCCCATCTTAGGTACCTCAGATGTGTTCACTTGATCATCGAGAAATTTAAGAGTCCAATTAAATAGATTTTAGTTGATTGTAGGATCCACCACGAATGTGGTTGCAAAGAAGCCACAGAAATGTATCGATCAGTTATCTTTGCATTTACCAAAATGAACGAATATTAACAGATGTTTTCTGTTTCTGTAGAGAAGAGAACAAATAGAAGAAAAAGTAAATGATGGAAAGAACATTTTAAAGTCACTGAGTCCTACATAAAGCACTTCTCAGTTACGTTTGGAACCTGGAACCGTTTAGAGTGTTCTCCACTTGCACGTGAAGCTCCGTCCCACTTACTCTCCAGCTTGCACAAGGCTCCTCTCCACCTGACCTACCTTCAACCTCGTTCTGATTCCATCTTGGGACTTGCTCAGACACAGAAGAGGATAGGTTTAGGGTGTATTTGAATGGATCTCCAAGGGGAGAAACCAGTTTGCATATGGCACATACAAGGGCTTCACAGGAGGAAACATTTGTGAGTGAGAGCAACCGTGGGATAGATTGAAGGCTGGCAGAATGCTTAGCAACAGACTCCTTCCGCATGAAGGAAATAGGGAGGGAGATCCGGTGCTACGTTCTAGAATGTCCTAGAGTGTAAGGAAAGACTGAGTGGTGTCATCAAATTAGGAAGGAAAAGTCCATCTTAGTATAATGGGGCCCAATGTGAGGGATTTCTGATTTCTGTAGTCAGCAGTGTGTCAGCAGTAACTAGCAATAATCGAAGTTCAATTAACTAGTTTATGTATATACCTGTATTATGCAAGGCAGATACCCTGAGAGCTCAAATACAAAACTTCTTACAAAACTGCTTTTAGACACAGAACTTCAGGGACAGGTTGAAGTATGTTCTTGTCGTTTTATGATTTGAGATACTGTAGCCATCATTTGTATCATTCTCTCAGGTCATCAGAAACATGGTTTTTATTATCATTTGGTGAAGCTTTCTCTATTTCTGTTGAAGAGTTGCTATTCAACCTGGGATTCTTACCTCTTGACTCTACAGAACCAGCACATATTGTCGTAAGTTTCACCATCAGTTGCACAGACTGGATCATAATCTTTGGTGCAAGAGTATATTGGTTGTGAATCGCAATTTAGCTATTGAAAACAAACAAAAAAAACCCCTGAATTTATTAGATAAATAAATTTTTAATATTTTTTACATTCTTCATACAAAACTCTAAATATAGAAAATGAATATGTATACTCCATTTCAAAGTTAATCAATAAAAATTGAGGTAACCATGATTCAGACATGAAAATCCTTCGCTATGCTTAATTAACCCAAAACTCATATTAAGAAGCAGTAACAGCAACTGAATCCATCTTTTATAAGTTATCAAGATCCTTCCACTTCTGTTTATTCTCAGGTCAAAAGTCCTCAATTACTTTGTGAATCAGAAATAAAAAAATAATAATTTCATCTTTATTAATAGTATAATGATATTTGTACTTATCCACATATGTATGTGTAAAATCACATACAGCTCTACTTCAATGTAATTTGTTATATATTCACCATGTTGATCATTTACATCTGTAAAACTATGCTGGCCTTATATATTTGTTTAGAAATAGTTTATTGCCTTTTACCCAGATACTATTCCAAAATGTGAATATATGAAGATGATAATTTTATCCATCTGTAAGTGTGTAGTTGAGTTACTATTTGTTTTATTCCTCTTGATTGTTAGGGTGAATGATTCTACTTCAACATTCTTTCACGTACATTAGATGCTGAGTACAACAAAGCTTATGCCCACTCATGAAATTTTTAAATAATAGTTTTAACTTGTTGAATCAAAATAGTTTTATATAACTGAAAGATGAACTCTGTCGCCCTCAATGTAATAATAACATAGGTTTCAATTGCATACTGTTTTATATGGATATGTTTGTTTGCTTGAATGGGTGTACAATTTGTTAGTTCACATTTTCTGTTAAAATTTACCATTTCCAGCTTAAAAATTAGTCGCTATTAACCTACCCGCTTGGAATCTTCTCTTCCAGGGATAAAAGAGGTTTCTGCAAACAACACACAGGTGAAGAATTAAAAATAAGAAGAAAATGGAGACAGTAGCATACACTTTGTTGGGAATTTCCTACATTTCTTCGTAGCAGAAGCCTATGTGAATTGTGTGCTGATACGAACGACAGGCAAGTAATAAAATGAATGTTTTTGCCAGTACTAAAATATTAATATACAAAATGACTACCAAGCAATATATTCAATAGTTCCAAAAATTCACATCATCTATGAAAAATAGTTCTCTGGATTATACAGTATTCCATCAAATGCTCCTATATTGGCCTCTTTTCCAGATTTTACATTATTGTTTTTCCATTTGATTTGGAGGACAGGCTAGTCAAAGTAGACAATGTTTACATTATACTCCCTATCATATCCTATAAATGTAATATGTAGACATTAATTAGTATTTAACTTATTAATATTAAATTGTAATGTAAAGGCTGATACCTCATAATTACTTTAATCTGAAATGAAAGAACATAATTTATCAGCAGACTAATCTATCAGTTATCTTATTATATGAGACCTTGATCTAAAAGAAGAAGCACAATTAGATTTCGAACATGCCAAGCATAAAGACTCATGATTCTGTATAGTTGGCATTAAACTGACATGGAATGTAAAAATAAGGGCAAAAATGGTAAGCAAAGATCTTTCATCCCAGAGAAATAATATTCTAAAGTCTATTTCCCAGTCTAAATATTTCTTTAGCTTTAAAATACACAATGAAAGAGAAGTGATTCACAGATGCAATTTGAAAAATGCATTTGGAACATGTCCTGTTTTTTTTCACCAGCTGACAGTGTGCAAAACCCAAAAGGCAATCTTGTCCAATCACTAATTCAAACAAGGACTTGCTACATTTCAGGTATGCAAATGCTTCACTCAAAGTTTGAGATATACTCACCACAATGTAAAAAGAATGTCAAGGAAATGATGAACACTGCTGTGATCCATGGTGAGAAGAAAGGCATTGTAGCAAGTCTGTGGAAGAAAACTTTAACAATGTTTATAGCACAGGAATCAGTGCTCCTTGTCCACAAGAATCTCTCTCATAGTTGCAATTCGTATTCCACCTCCCTTCTCTTCCCTCCCTCATGTTCTCCTCTATCCTCAGATACTAAAGCACACATCATGTGCACACAGGGCCTCCTAGGAACTTAGAGAACCCCAGGAAAAGTCTCCTGGAACATTTACAAAGGAGTGGCTTATGCTCCCTATTCTCTGGGTCAGGCCACAGACCATTTCCCACCTGTAAGGAAATGTTCACAGCAGAATCTCAGATTCTACTCAGAAAGTCACAACAGGACTTGGAAAACAAAGGACATGAAGGTTCTCACAGCAATGTTGGAAGCCAGAGCACTGCTCTCCATATGCCACCTGGCCTACCTGGAGGTGGAGCTCAGTGTAGTGTGTGGACAACAGCTCCAGACACTGTGTGTTTTATTCACCCTTTCTTCTCAGTCAAGTACATGCAGTGCAATCGTTTCCTGATTGGCTTGTTGATGGGCAGCATTGTAAGGGTAAAAAGGCTGCCCAAGGGCAGATAGGAGAGGGAGAGATATTTTCTGTCCTTCCTGGAGGTCACAAAGCATTTCATAAGAAATATTTCTCCTATTTCTCAATAGATCTTCTGTTAGCAGGGGTTTGGGACACGTTGATCTCAGCTGATGCATTCCAAAATTAGTGATAAGAGTGGAAAGGTGCTGATTATAGATCCTATGATAGAAAAAAAATGAACAACAACAAAAAGAAGTAATTGCTGTCTAAATTATTGGGTATGAATATCCAAGAGAATGAAATCAATAAAGGTAGAAAGTGCATATGAGAAATTCTATGTAGACAAGTGCCTAACTTGTCTAACATGTGCCCAGAAACACATCAAACTTAATGGAGATTTGATCCCTGGTGGATCTCTGAGAAGATTTAAATGTAGAATCACATTAATTTTTAATGCCTAATGTAGAGTTCTTGTGATCCTATCTTGTAAAAAATATATAATGCAAGTCCTGGCACGATAGCCTAGGGGATAAATCCTTGTCTAGTATCTGCCAAATCTCATATGAGTACCACTTCCTATCCCAGCTGCTAAACTTTCATCAGTTTCCCTGCTTGAAGCCTGAGGAAGCCGTTGAGGTTTTCCAAAGCCTTGAGACTCTGTACTGAAGGGGGGTCCAGGAAATCCTCCTGGCTCCTGGCTTCAGGTTAGCTCACCTCTTTCTGTTGTGGCCACTAGCAGCGGACAGAAGGTTTTTATTTCTCTGTCTTTTCTTCTCTTTGTAAAATTGCCTTTCCAATAAAAATAAGTAGGTCTTGAAAAAATAGTATATTCCACAATCAGAAGTAGGAAGAGATATCAACTGAAGACCTTTTTCCAACAGCCGGCTATAATCAATCACGTGAATCTGTCACTTGTGCATGAGGCCCAGACAATGGATTATCCTTACCAGCATATTCCCACATTCTAAAGTGTATGTAAGTGAGTCAGCAAATATACCACATAATTATTGTGATCAGCCAATAGAATTTGTGTCTGACTGAATAAATTGCAGTGTCTCCTAGAGTGCCTGTGAAACATGTGATGCCATATCAGAGCAAGTAAAAAATGTTTGTTGATTGTATCAGACAGTAAATGCATGGAATAATCCATAATTCAGGCATAATATTTAAGCTAAGATAGTTCAAAAACAATCTATCTGAATTATATCATGAGTAAGAGAAATTATCGTGCTATGCAAATTATTTCAATGAGAGACAGCATATATTTTGAAAGACTTATTTTTATTGGAAAGGCAGATTTACAGAGAGAAAAGATTATCTACTGGTTCACTGATCAAATGGCTACAATGTCTGGAGCTAAGCCGATCCAAAGCCAGGAGCCAAAGTTTTCTACAGGTGACAGTGTCTAAAGGCCTTGGGCCACCATCCAGTGCTTTGCTAGACCTTAAGCTGATTGAGAAGCAGAGCAGATGGAACACAGAGCTGCACTTGGAGGAAGAGGATTATCCAGTAGAACCAACGCACTGGCACAAAAACCGGTTTTGCTTAAGGTAACTAGTCACAAAATTTGTATCTGTCTATCTCTTCGTTAATTTTGTCTATCTCTTCATAAATATCCTTGAATTTCACGTATGCAATTTATATACCACTCTTGATGTAAGACAGAATGCAATGGTAAGAAAATTAATAACATCAATTACTCCAACCAATGTGATTCACCTAGTTAATAAAGTTTGAAACAGTAAAACATAAATGATTCACTGAATAATGTCTCTACCATACAATGAATACTATCCTCATAAAGAGAAACTTTTTTTTTTTTTGGCAGCAAATTCACCTTTTTCCCCCAGCATGGGCTTATTATATTGCAACTGGATGACTGTCCCGTTGACATCCCTTCATTATACTCCCATGAACACTTCCCCATTTTCAGTACAGGAGATGGCCCAGACTCATCTTGTTTATTTCCTCGCCTAGTACTAAGTCACCCATTTCTCGAGTCCTTATATCGCTCTTTAGAAAGATAGAAATAGAAATCAACATCTCTGTGTTAAGAGTGCTCACTGATAAGGGAGACTTGATTCTACAGCCTCTCATGGATGGAACAAGTTAATATGTGTATGTACCATGTATTTCCAGTGGACAGGCAAACAATCCAAGTTCACTTTGGTAAAGGGTGTCTTTGGCACAGGAGGCTCCAGCAACCCGGGATCCTAACTCAGAACAGTTCCCGCGTTCAGTTTCAATGAAAGGGAGACTGTCGTCTACATATGAAGAGATCATGCAAACAAACATCCTCTTTCCACAAATAAGAAGGTGCTATTTACTCTGCAACTCTGCAGGTCACCCCTAGGAGTGTGGCTGTAGCTCAAGAAAGCACTCACTCTTGCTTTCCAGGGTTTTCCTCAAAAACAGGATCTGGTCTTTCTGAAAGGAATCTTGTACACCAGGACTGCCTCCTTACATTTCACATATGATTACTACAGGTAGTGAACACAGAGCTAAAGTGTCCTGCAGAGTCCTTATTTTAGCTTTTCTCCTTCATCAAGTAGATCTGTTAAGGTTTCCTTCTTGATCTGAGAGTGGAGAACTTGCACGATCCACAGCCATGAAATGTGGTGGTGGTGGTGAGTGGGGGGAGGGGGGAATGTGTGTTTTTCCTGAAGTGCTTAAAGCAACTCATGCAAGATGCTCACAACTAGTTCTTCACAGAGCTTCTCTCCCGAGACTGGAGAAAATTTGATCTGATCAATCTAAGTGCAGTGTGGAGAGAACAAAAAGATAATATCAGCAATTACAGATCCCAAGATAAGGAGCAGAAGGCTTTCCAAGCAAGTGATCCAAAATGTGTAATGGAGTCAAACCAAAAGCAAGAAAGAGAGAGAGAGAGAGAGAGAGAGAAAGAGAGAGAGAGAGAGAGAGAGGAAGGAAGGAAGGAAGGAAGGAAGGAAGGAAGGAAGGAAGGAAGGAAGGAAGGAAGGAAGGAAATAAATGAGGGGGAACTGCATAAGATGTTAACTGAATGAGTCATTTTCTACCCCTAGAACATTAGATTAAATCAAATTGAGGTTTGGGTAGTTGATTAGAATGGGAAGGGCCCAGAATCAGGGGAAAGTGGGATATACCATTGTTTCCACATTTTTCTTTTTCTTCTTCCTGTGTCTGAGTGAAGGGGGAGATAAAAGGAGAAGCCACACCCAGTTCCCAACTGTCTCAGTAGCCAGGGGTGGGGAACAGCCACCCGCTATCACCAGGCCATCAATGTGGAGTATGTTCCAAGGGTTCTGTATAAGTGGTTTCACCAGTTCTGAAATGGTGTTGATCTCACAGATGCAAGGATGAGGATATCCTTCCAAGGTCCATTGGTGACACAGTCTACCTCTGAGTCTCCGTTCACCCAGAAATTTGCTGTCACACTTCACAAATTGATAGTTGAACAAATTTTTCTACCCTCCTTCCTCTGCTATGGTACCACATATCCTCTGCAGGCTCCAATAATCTAAATATTGTCCATGTGCATATGGATATTGTGTGAGTGCTGCAGTCCAGTCTGGAGTGGCACATCTCACCTCAGCATTTGTCAACAGGTGCTGTAGCCTGGAATGGCCCAGTCTGCCCCTGATGCCAGCTCTCAATGATGTGTGCTGCTGCCCAACCTAGACCTGTGCTGGCCCTAATGTGAATTGGCTGGTGCTGCATTCAGTCTGGTCTGTCCTGCACCCTGTCCTGGTTCTCAAATCTTCTGTTGGGTGTTATGAATGGGCCCAGGCTTGTTCACCTCGAGTCCTGACCCACACTATTCCTTGTGTGGCAGTGAGTGGTATTCGGTGGTGGTTGATGCAAACTACCCAGCCCAGGTCCCCCACATGGGATGATACGTAGGTCTGACCCTTACATTTTTTTCAGTTCCCCACTGCAAATGTCTTGATGTCAGCCCCCTTGCTTATTGTAAGTACAGTCAGCCTCATGCATTTTTTGCCTTTAACACACTCCCTTACCAGTCCTCCCTTCTACACATCTACCAACCCCTTTTCTGGAATTTTGCCTTCCCTCTCTGCTCAGGTAGTAGATGTTTTCTGCAGACCCAATGGACTGCCGGACTCTCTGACATTGTCTGGAGATACTTCAATGGCAGCATCATGGACTTACAACTGTTCATGAAAGATTCCCATTGGAAAACTAGAAGGGAAATCCTTGCGGAGGGCAGGGAACTTGAGGAGGTGGACAGGAAATCCCAGTGCATATTAAACTGTGTCATAAAACAAAAAAAAAAGATTTTTCAATGTATTCAGATATTGAAAAAGTGCAAGTAATATTATCAATCTCTAAAGGAGGTAGCAAAATATTCAACTCACAATTTAAAATTTTTAAAATATATTTATTCCACATATTATTTTGAAATATCTTCCATGGCCTCTTCAGCTTCATAATTGATATCTAAATAAACAGGACAATGCTTTACGTGAATGCTTTTTACGACAATGCTTTTCATCTGAACATAAAACTTACACAGCACTTCATGGATTAAATATCTGCTCTAATTTTGTACTTTAATCAAGTGCCTTATGGATTGTTTTATCCTAATGTTCCAAGAACACTGTAGATGGAAGTGTCAGTGTATTTCTTTACACAAATAGGTTTGATTTTAGGAGACTCATGGTGGGTAAGAGATCAGTCTCACTCACACTTTGAATTAACAACCAAGAATAAGACATCCCATAGGAAAATATTGCTTTTTTCAATAAGGATTAACAAAAAGCAAATATCAACATCCTAACCCATCATTCTTTCTTCATTTTTCCACTATGAGGATTAAAAAAACAAGAAAAAAGTATTTAACTTTAGGATGACTTGTGTACTATATCTCTTTCATTACCAATAACTGTTACCAACCTAACATAATAAGAGTCTCTATTTTCTAGGATATGAGATGTGTGTCCCTCAGGACCAGAAAATAGACTCATCAGAATGAAGAAAAGTGAGGACCATGATGAGAACAGCTCTAATCCATGTGGAACAGAAAGGTATACTTTCATATCTGTGAATTAAAATTTCTGATGGTTCATAACTTATGAAACAGAATCGATTCTAGAACATTAAATGTTCAGAAAGAATCAAATGCCACACTTGGAAACACTCCTACTGGTGAGTAAACTATTCCAAACATCCATATTGCTAATACAGGACAATTATTTCCCTTCTATTCTATCAAGAGTTATTTTCCTTTTATTCTACCAAGTCTAACATCAACCAGACACACAATGTGCAGAAAAAAAGTCTCAGTGGTCATGTGGGAGAAAGCCTAGATCCACGTCCAGTTTGAACAGGTAAACATGCTTGTTTTCCCAACCCTTTGTCTTAGCCCAGAAGTAACAGGTCTACATTTCAGGAAACATACACTGTTGAAAACAGGAAGTGCCTTCAGTTGGCACTCTCTGGGAACACTCCTTGCAGCCATGCTCCACACTAACTCCAGCTCCCCAGATCTGCCTGTGACTTACCTCATGCAGAGACCTCATGGGAATCGAGGCCACCAGCTCTGCAGACTGTGACTATTTTGTTCACCCCCCTCCTCAGTTGCCACCTTCCCACTAAGTCTCTTTCATTGATATGTGAGGGAGGGAAACAATGGGAATGAGGGAGATGCTCAGGGCAACATGGTGTAGAGGTGTTGTGTGTTCTCTCTGGGAGCTGCAAAATAGGTCATGATGTAGCAGGAAGGATGAGGAAGGGGAAAAATGAGCATGATTATAGATCCTAAAATGGGAAAACAGTAAGAAAAGATCTCTTCTTTCTTTGCATATTTGTTACTTTATCTTCTAAACACAGAAATATTTGTAAAATGACAAGTTTGTATGAAATGACAAAACACCTAGAATAGCTAACACCATAAAAAAATAGAGGGATAATCCAAGCTACCTAAGTCTTACTGTAAAACTACAGTAATGGAGACATTGTGGCAGAAATCCCCATTTTTCTCTGAGCCATAATAAAGTCACTGCTGAATGATAATTTCATTTCAAAAAATAGAGGAAAAATTTGGCTATCTAAGTGTTGCCATTTGAAAATGCTAGAGAGCATAAAAGTTATTAGCAGGAAAATCCATGAGGAATTTTATTGCCTTACTGAGGAGTTTTTCTTGAAAAACTTCATGTCTTTTACTAAAGTAGAATCTCTCAAAGATGAAAAATCTGTAATTCTATCACCATATGGAAATTAATATTTGGAGTATTATATTCTACTGAGTTTTACATTTACTTTCCATTCATAGATTATGTGTATACACATTAATTTCATACTCAGTAAAAGGCATAACTAATTAGTTCATTGATGCTTTATTCAGTTGATGCTTCATTCAATTATTGAACTGATGCTCAAGGGTAAAGAGGAATCCAGGTATTTTTAATCTTAAGAAACACTCCAATAATGTACTGTGCATTCACCTGTGAAAATATTAAATCATAGATACAAAGAATCGTATCGTGTTGTAACCTATTACTTTACCAAAACAGAAAGAATGTTAAAAAGTACACTTAAGAAATTAACGTATTTAACATATATTGATTAAAGCATTGATGATTACATTTGTGCTATTTTATTATCGAACACAAAATTAAGATATCAGTGTTTTCAGTTGTTATTGAAAAATTGAACACTGTAAACAAAGGTCCTTCAATTACAACGGTTGTTAGTGTTGGAAGATCTTTTATCATACCATGTCCCATCTTAGCTACCACTTGATCATTGAGGAATTTAAGACACCAATAAAAGGGATTCTCATTGATTGTAGAATCCACCATATATAGAGTTCAAAGAAGCCACAGAAATATGAAGGTCAGGTGTCATAGCAAGTGCCATAATAAAGGAATGAGAGCGTTCCATTTGTCCTACTACAAATAAGAGAACAAAGAGAAAAAAAAGTAAATGATGGAACGAACATTTTGAATTCACCAAGTACTGCATGAAACACTTCTCATTGATGCTTTGAACCTGGGACACTTCAGAGAATTTGTCTCCACTTCCACATGCAGCTCTGTCCCATTTACTCTCTAACATTTTACTTGAACAAATCTGGGACAACCTGGCCCTTCCTTCAACCTGGTTGGATTCCATAGTGGGACTTACTCATACAGAGAAGAGGATAGGTTTAGGTTTTGTTTAGTGGATCTCCTGGGACAGAAACCAGTTTGCAGATTACACATACAAGGGCTTCATAGGGGGAAACACCTGTCAGTGAGAGCAACAGTGCGTTAGATAGGAAAGCTTACAGAACGTTTAAAAGCAAACTCAGAGTACAGAAAGTAGGGATGGAAATTCAGTGGAATGTTCCAGAATGTCCTATAAAAGAAGGACTAAAGGGTGTCATCAAATTAGGAGGGAGGAAACCTTGTTAGAACTATGTGGCCCAATGTGAGGGATAAGTCAGTTCTGTGGTCAGCAGTCAGCAGTAGCTAGCAACCCTTATACTAAGTTAAATTAACAGGCTTATGTACTTATGTGCATTATACAATACAAGTATACTGAGAGATGAAATACAAAACTTCTAACAAAACTGTTTTTAGACACAGAGCTTGAGGGTGAAGTAGAAATGTGTTTTAGTGGGTTTTATGATTTGAGACATATTACAGCTCTTTTTGGTATGATTCCCTAGATCATCAGAAACGTGGTTTTTACTATCATTTTGTGTTAGTTTCTCTATTTCTGTTGAAGAATTGCTATATCATCTGGCATTCTTACCTCTTGGCACTGCAAAACATGCAGCTATTTTGATATGTGTAGCCATCACTCGCACAGACTGGATCAAATTCATTGTTGCAAATGTGGCTTGCATATGAACCACATCTTGGCTGTTGAACACACAAGGACATCATTGAATTTTTGCAATATATAACTTTTAAATAAAATGTTTTTCCTTTACATAAATTGCAGATATAGAAAACAATAATTACATTCTGCTTCAAAGTTCATTTACAAAAATTGAGTTACAATGAATCAGCTAAACATGAAATCTTCTTACTTTGCTTAATAAACACAATGTAAATTTAAAAAGCAATGGAAGCAACTGAATCCACTTTTTTTTTATTATAATTTACCAACCTGTTTCCTCCTCTGTTTATTCTCAGATCAATTACTTTCTGAAATAAGGAATCTTATTTGTATTCTGATACTTTTATGTATCCATTTGCGTATTCTTCTATTGGTATGTGTATTGTATATATGTACCATTATGTAGAGCTTTACTTTTATAGATAAAGCATTTAGTCTTTTTCATGGTGACTTTTTACATTTATAATATCGTGTGTAAATTTTAAACCTTCTTGGGTCTTTGCATAGTTGTTTAGAAATATAGTTCTGTTTCAGATTCTGTTCGAAAATGTGAATGTTTTAAATTATAACTTTAAGTTATAATTTATAGTTTATAGTTATAATTTATAGTTAAATTATAACTTTAAGTGTATAGTTGGATTACTGTTTTCTTCGTTCCTCTTGCTTGTTGGGGTGAGTGATTCTAGTTCAACGTTCTATTACATACACTGGATGCCGAGTACAACAAAGCTTATACCCACTCATGGAAATTTTAAATGAAATAGTGTAACTATGGTGCTATACTATTGGGTAGATTAAATCTATGGCTCTTAATATGAATTTCATAGATTTTCAATAGCATATCATTTATTGCTTGATGTTTCTTTTGTTTCAAAAGTGTACACTTTATGTGTTGACATTATCTCTTAGAATTTATCATTTCCCACTTAAAAATTAATCAGTATTGACTTACTATTCCTCGAACTTCTTTTTTTTGGTTAAAAGAGGTTTCTGCAAGCAGTAAACAGAAGTAAAATGTGAAAAAGGAGAAAATATGGACAATAAGATACACTATTCTGTGAATTTCTCACCTTTCTTAGTAGTAGAACTATATGTGAATGGCGTACGAGTAATAATGCAGGCAAGTAATAAAATGAACATTTCTGTTAGTTTGAAAATGTTGTATACATAAATTACTACAAAAGAGAATATCATATTTAAAAATTGTTACTACCTATGAAAAATAGTCTTCTGTATTATTTAATACTCCACCATATTCTCCTATATTGGCTTTCTTTTCCCAATGTGGTATAAAATCATAGTTTTCTAATTTTGTTGCAGAAGACCATTACTCAAGGAGATAACAATTGCATTATGTTCCCATAATATTCCCTTTCAAGTAATATGTGGATATTAATTAGTATTTTCAGATTAGTAGTCAACTGTAATACAGAGGCTCTAGCCTAAAAATAAATTTGAAATGTAAGAATACAATGGAACCTTAACAAAGAGAACTTCTCAGACTTGGTTTTTATAGACTAATGGCTAATGTCCTCGCCTCACATGCTCAGGGATTCCACATGGACATTGGGTTCATGTCCTGGCAGTGCCAATTCCCATCCAGCTCCAATCTCCAAATTTCTATTCTTGTGGCCTGGAAAGGCAGTAAAAGGATGGTAAAATCTTTGGCTCCTGGCTTTGAATCAGCAAATAATTTATCACAGATGTTAGAATGTGTCTTCTTCTTAAATATGCCTTTCATCTAAAAGAATAAATTACGTCTTAGGCTTCCAAGAGATGCAAAGTATAAAGACTCATGATTCTGTATAGTTGGCATTAAACTGGAATATGACCATAAGGGAAAAAAGATAAGCAAAGATCCTTCATCTAAAAGAAATAATAATCTAAGATCTATTGCCCAGTCTAAATATTTTTTTAGCTTTAAAGTAGGCAATGAAAGAAAAGTGATTCACCGATGTAATTTGAAAAATGCATTTGGAACATGTCCTGTCTGTTTTCACCAGCTGACAGTGTACAAAACCCAAAAGGCAATCTTGGCCAATCATTAATTCAAACAATGGCTTGCTACACTTCATGTACGCAAGATGCTTCACTCAAAGTTTGAGATATACTCACCACAATGTAGAAAGAATGTCAAGGAAATGATGAAAACTGCTGTGATCCATGGTGAGAAGAAAGGCATTGTAGCAAGTCTGTGGAAGAAAACTTTAACAATGTTTATAGCACAGGAATCAGTGCTCCTTGTCCACAGCATTCTCTCTCACAGTTGAAAGAACCATTCATATTCCACCTCCTCTCCCCTCCCTCATGTTCTCCCCATCCTCAGATACTAAAGCACACATCATGTGCACACAGGGCCTCCTAGAAACTTAGAGAACCCCAGGAAAAGTCTCCTGGAACATTTACAAAGGAGTGGCTTATGCTCCCCATCCTCTGGGTCAGGCCACAATTTCCCACCTGTAAGGAAATACGCACACCAGAACCTCAGATTCTACTCAGAAAGTCACAACAGGACTTGGAAAACAAAGGACATGAAGGTTCTCACAGCAATGCTGGAAGCCAGAGTGCTGCTCTCCATATGCCACCTGACCTACCTGGAGGTGGAGCGCAGTGTAGTGTGTGGACAACAGCTCCAGACACTGTGTGTTTTATTCACCCTTTCTTCTCAATCATGTGCATACCTGACAAGAGCTTCCTTTGGTTGATTTTTTTGATGGTGTGCTTCACGGATATAAATGGGCTGCCCAAGGGCAGATAGTAGAGATATTTTCTGTTCTTCCAGGAGGTTATAAAATATCTCATAAAAATATTTCTCCTATTTCTCAATAGATCTTACCCTAACAAGAGGTTTGGGACACGTTGATCTCAGCTGATGCATTCAAAAATCAGTGGTGAGTGTAAGTATAATCTATTAAGATTACAGGAGATGATTTATAGCTAACAGATTCGTAACACTATTAGACATTAGAAAGCCTGTAGAAACTTACAGTGGAATCCAGAAAAACCCTGACAGCCTCTTAAAAGGAGGTGGTGGGTACAGAGCAGGAGAGGATCTCAGTGTGGGGCAGTAGGCTAAGAGTAGGTTTGTATCCTAGTCCCAGAGGACCTCCTTCCCCCCTCCCCCCCGCACCACCCCTCCCCCGCCCCGGAGGCTTCCCAAAAGCTTTTGCTGCAGAGGTAGTGGATACTTCCTCAAGGATTGTGGGTATGGACACAGAGAATGGTATCCCAGCTGCCAAGGAGATCACAGGGAATGTGAGCACCCTCGGAGAGAGTCATTTCCTATCAGACTTCCCACATGGGCTGGAAGCAGCCCAGAACCCTCATGATAGGGTCTGGTGACATCGAAACTACAGCCAGGAGCCAGGGGGACACTTAGAGATAAAAGAATTGTAAATTTCCTTCCAGACACAGGAGAGGTGCTTTCTCTGGTCGTTTCCTAGTTCCAGCCTTGGCTCCCAGCTCCCTTACACTGAATATCATGGTTGCTTGGGAGCCCCAAAATTAGTTCAGATAGAGAGAGATTTGGCTTTCAAATAGAGAGAGACTGAGATAGAAAGTTTGGAACAGCCAAGAAAAAGGCCAGCCAGCCTATTATCTCTCAGCCTGTACATACTGGTAAGGCTTCCTATTTGGCTTCTCCTAGACTTCACTAGATGGAATTTGGAATTCAGTTCTTCCTCACTCACTAAGTGTTGGGGATTTCCTTGCTCACCAATCTAAGACTTTTTCTTCAATTGTTAAAATATGGCTTGTTAGAATCATAAAACGGATTTAGTTATGCTAAAATGCATGAAGTTCTGTAAAATCTTGCTTAAATGCTATAAACTGTAAAGTTTAAATTATGGATTAACGTTCTCCCCCAAAATTTATTAATTCAGAACTGTTAATGCTAAACAAGATGTAACTGCATAGAAACTTTGATGTTAAACTTTTATTCAGCTGCTATATATGATGGACGAATAGCCTGAAGTCAGTGTTAATCCTTTCACTGTTTCAGTACCATTCCAATTGATTTAGGCTATTCATATAGTTCAGGAAAGCTTCATGTGTTTTGTTGCTTATTGAGGTAATTGTTTCTAAATCTTGAACTAAGATGCTCAGGGCTCATGTTTACTCTGGCAAAGATAACTATGTTATATTTCTACCTTCTACCAGAGATCTTTTTTTTTTTTAAGATTTATTTTTACTATTTTTTTTTTATTGGAAAGGCAGATATACAGAGAGGAGAGACAGAGAGGAAGATCTTCCGTCTGATGATCCACTCCCCAAGTGAGCGCAACGGCCGATACTATGCCGATCCGAAGCCAGGAGCCTCTTCCGGGTCTCCCACGCGGGTGCAGGGTCCCAAAGCCTTGGGCCGTCCTCGTCTTTACATGTATTCCCTGTAGAATGCCTGGCTGCTGTGGCCCCCATCTCTCCACCCGCTTTTCAGCATGAAGTAGCTAGAGTGGTTGCTGGCCCCTATTCCTGACAGCAGCCAGGGTTCATTCTCCTGGGAAAAAGGATGTTGCAGAGTTAGATGAGATAGGTAGTTAGGGTATGTGGTCCCTGGTGAAGTTATTTTTGTGTAATATATAATATTGCTTCTCCCCATTTTCTGCTCTTCCAAGGGCATGTTGTCCCTAACTACATCTTTCAGGTTTAATTTTACAAAACACAAAAGGGGGATTAATAGAAGGACATTCAGAATCTTTGCTATTGTGGGAGACTTAGCCAGTTGAATCTCCCCTGAAGGCGCCAGGAGCAATGATATGGAGATGACTGAGCAGGATACATCCTGGTTCACAGGTTTAGATAAAGAACCTGCTAGAGGAACAAGCTGTGTTTTGGCGAACTGTACCTGCTGTTGAGATGTAAATGGCTCAAACACTTCCACCATGAATGCCTATGTGGCTACATTCTTTTAAAAGTCTGGTGCTGTTATAAACTTAGGCTGTCGGTCATCAGTCAGTAGACCATGTATGTTAAAAAATGTCTCTGTGCACCACAGCCATCACTGCAGGACAGTGACATGTACGTATCACCATTTAAAATGTTAGGGTGCATAAAAGTAATTAGCAGGAAAATCCATGAAGAATTTTATTGTCTGAGGAGTTTTTCTTGAAAAACTTCATGTCTTTTACCAAAATAAAAGATCCCAAGAGTAGGTAAGAAAGAGAAAGGTATAATTCCATCACCATATGGAAAATACTTTTACTATTTGGATGGCTGTCTTCCAATGATTTCTATATTTACTTTCAATTCAGTACCTATACATGTATATACAATAATTTCATATGCAGAAACAAGTACAACTTGTTATTCAGTTCATGTTTTATTCAGCTGATACTTCATTCAATTATTCAGCTGATGCATTAAGATAAAGAGGAATTCAGGTATTTTTAATCTTAAGAAACACTCCATGTACTGTGCATTCTCCTGTGAAAATATTAAATCATAGATACAAAGAATAGTCATTTATTGTAACCCATTACTTTACCCAAAACAGAAAGAACATTAAAAAGCACATTTAAGGAGATTAAACCATTTAACATGTATTGATTAAAGTATTAATGATTACATTTGTGCTATTTTAACAGAGAACAAAGGCCCTTCAATTACAATGGTTGTTAGTGTTGGAAGATTCTTCAACATTCCATATCCCATCTTAGTTACCACAGTTGTGTTTATTTGATCATCGAGGAATTTAAGAGACTACTTAATGAAGGAGATTCTATTTGATTGTAAAATCCACCGTAAATGGGGCTGAAATGGAAGCCATAGGAATGTGTAGGTAGGCATATTTCAGCAGGCACCATAACGAAGGAAGCAAAATGCATCTTTACTCTCTCTGTAAAGAAGAGAACAAATAGAAAAAAAAGTAAATGATGGAAATAACACTTTAAATTCACTGAGTCCTGCAAAAAACATTGCTCAATAAGGTTTTGAACCTGGGACACTTCAGAGAGTTTGTTCTCCACTTCCACATGCAGCTCTGTCCCACTTACTCTCCAACATTTTATATGAACGAAACTGGGAAAACCTAGCCCTTCCTTCAATCCAGTCCTGACTCATTGTGAACTTGCACTTACACAGAAGGGGACTGGGTTAGGATTTATTTGAATGGATCTGTAGGGGCAGAAGCCAGTTTGCAAATTAGACATACAAGGGCTTCATAGGGGAACACTAGTAGTGAGAGCGAGAGTGGGGTAAATAGGAAGGTTGGCAGAATGTTTTGCAGCAAAACATTCAGAGGGCAGAAAATAAGGAGGGCAATCCAGTGGAATGTCCCAGAACCCAACGTATGGACTGAAGGGTGTCATCAAATTAGGAAGCGGGAGTTGTTGTTAGAACTATGGGGCGCAATTGAGGGATTTCTGAGTTTTGTAGTCTCCATTCAGCAGTAACCAGCAACAGTCAAACCAAGTTAATTGGTTTATGTATTTACCTGTATTATATATTTCAGGCCTACTGAGAGACCAAATACAAAACTTCTAATGAAACTTCTTTTAGACACAGAGCTTTAGGGAAGGGTAATAATGTGTTCTAGTGGGTTGTATTATTATAAAGATATTGTACTTTATTTGTTTCTGTTAAAGAATTGCTAGATAATCTGGCATTCTTACCGCTTGGCACTGCAGAATATGCAAACATTGCTATATGTTTGGCCATCACTCGCACAAATTGGATCAAATTCTTTGGTGCACATGTAGTTTGAAAATGAATCACATTTTGGCTATTGAACACAAAAGAATGTCATTGAATTTATGAGATAAAAAAGTTTTAAATAAAGATTCTCTTAATTCTCACACAAAATTCCAGATATAGAAAAGAATAATTAAATTTTATTTCAAAGTTCATCAATAAAAATTAAGGGACTATGAGTCTGCTAAACATAAACCTAATGTAAGTTTAAAAAGCAATGGAAGCAACTGAATCCACTTTTTTATAATTTACCAACCTTTTTCCACCTTTGAATTTCCTGTTCAATTATTTTCTGAAACAAGGAATATCATTGGTTTTCTGATATTTTTATGTATCCATTTGTGTATTCTTCTATTGGTATGTGTATTGTACAAACATATATGTATATATATGTATATATATGTACAAACATGAATAGAGAGAAAGCTCTACTTCTATATGTAGAGCATTCAATCTTTGTCATGGAGACTTTACATTTATAATATCGTGTGTAAATTTTAAACCTTCTTGGGTCTTTGCATAGTTGTTTAGAAATATAGTTCTGTTTCAGATTCTGTTCGAAAATGTGAATGTTTTAAATTATAACTTTATCCATCCTTAACTGTATAGTTGGATTACTGTTTGCCTTATTCCTCTTGCTTGTTAGGGTGAGTGATTCTACTTCAACGTTCTATTACATACACTGGATGCCGAGTACAACAAAGCTTATACCCACTCATGGAAATTTTAAATAATGGAATAGTTTAACTTGTCATCAAAGCCAAATGGTGATATATTATTGGGTAGATTAAATCTATGGCTCTTAGTATAAATATCATAGGTTTTCAATAACACTTGTACTTTAAATTTCTTTTGTTTTAAGGGTGTAAACTTTATTTGTTGACATTTTCTGTTAGAATTTATCATTTCCATCTTAATAATTGATCAATATTACTTACTGGTGGGCGAACTGCTACTTCTTGGTTGTTAAAAGAGGTTTCTGCAAATAACAAAAAGAAGAAAAATACTAAAAAGAAAATTATGGGCACTATGGCATGCTAGTGAATTTCCCACATGTCTTCTTAGCAGAACCCTATGTGAATTGTGTTGATACTAATGACAGACAAATAATCAAATATTTTTTGTAGTACTAAAATATTATGACTACTAAACAGAATATCCTGTAATTAAAAAATTATTACTACCTATGAAAAAGAGTCTTCTCTATTGTTTAATGTTCTAACATAATCTCCTATACTGGCTTTCATTTCATTTTTTATACTGTAGTTATCCAATATTGTTATAGAAGAACATCAAGTCAAAGAAGATAATGGCTGCATTACGCTCCCATAATATACCCTCTCATGTAATGGGTGGACATTAGAAATTAAATCATTAGCATCCAATTGTAACATGAAGGCTCTTTTCTCACAATTTACGTTGAAATATGTGAAAACAGTGGAATCTAAAGAGAGATAATTTATCACAGACATGTCAGAGTCATCTTGTTAAAAGTGGCCTTGATCTAAAAGAATAAAGATTAGATTTCTAAGAAATGCCAGATGTAAAGATTGATCATTGTGTACATTTGGCATTTAAACATCATTGAATCTAATCATAATCTCAACAACGTAAAGGAAATATCCTTATCACAGAGAAATAATAATTTAATGTCAATTGTTCAGTCTAAATATTTCTTTAATTTAGAGTAGGCAAGAAAAGTGATTCACGGACGCAATTTGAAAAAGACATTTGAAACGTCCTGTCTTATTTCACGAGCTGACATTCTGCCACCCTCAAAAGACAATCTTGTCCAATCATTAAGGTCAAAAAGTGCTTGCTACATTCCCTGATGTCTAATGCTTCACGGACAGATGGAAGATATACTCACCAGAATGAAAAGGGAATGTCAAGGAAATGATGAAAACTGCTGTGATCCATGGTGAGAAGAAAGGCATTGTAGCCAAGTCTGTGGAAGAAAACTTTAACAATGTTTATAGCACAGGAATCAGTGCTCCTTGTCCACAGCATTCTCTCTCATAGTTGAAAGCACCATTCATATTCCACCTCCCTTCTCTCCCCTCCCTCATGTTCTCCCCATCCTCAGATACTAAAGCACACATCATGTGCACACAGGGCCTCCTAGAAACTTAGAGAACCCCAGGAAAAGTCTCCTGGAACATTTACAAAGGAGTGGCTTATGCTCCCCATCCTCTGGGTCAGGCCACAATTTCCCACCTGTAAGGAAATATGCACACCAGAACCTCAGATTCTACTCAGAAAGTCACAACAGGACTTTGAAAAGCAAGGACATGAAGGTTCTCACAGCAAGGCTGGAAGCCAGAGTGCTGCTCTCCATATGCCACCTGACCTACCTGGAGGTGGAGCGCAGTGTAGTGTGTGGACAACAGCTCCAGACACTGTGTGTTTTTTTTACCCTTTCTTCTCAGTCATGTGCATGCAGCTCAAGAGTTCCTTTGGTTGGTAGGTTGGTGGGGTGCTTCATGGATATAAATGGGCTGCCCAAGGGCAGATAGGAGAGAGATATATATTATGTGCTTCGTGGAGGACATAAAGTATCTCATCAAACTATGTCTCCTATTTCTCATTAGATCTTCCCTCAGCATGAGGTTTGGGACACGTTGATCTCCCCCGATGCATTCAAAAATCACTGGTGAGTTTGCAAGAGGAGGAACATAGAGATGCTATGATAGAAGAAAGAAAAAAAACCAGTAAAATAAATAGCAGTAAAAGCTTTGAAATCTACTGTGAAATGTTGACTTAGACAATAAACTCTGGGAAAGAAGATATGTACGTGAAAATTCCACATAGGTAAGTGTCTACCGTGAAATCTGAAACATCCCAATCTTAAAGAAGATGATGCATGTAAGATGATGCGTATATTTGAGGTAAATATAAGTTCACGTAAATTTGAAAGTACTAGTGTGTATTCTTAATCCCGTTAAACATTTCTCTAAATGGGAACATTTACAAAATTGTATTACAGATCATCAAACATTAAGAAATATCAGCTGTTGAGCTTTTACAAACTTCCAGTTTTTTTTTATTGATTACATTGCACTATGTGACACAGTTTTATAGGTACTGGGATTTCCCAACACCTCTCCCCAAACCCTCCCTGCATGGTGGATTCCTCCACCTTGTTGCATTACCCAAGTTCAAGTTCACATGAGATTCTTTCATTGTAAGCATATACCAAGCATAGAGTCCAGCATCTTATTTTCCAGACAAATTCAACGGCTTGTTGGGGAGACCATCTCTGGTCTGAAGGTAGAGCTGGCAGAGTATCATCCCTATCAATTAAAAGCCCTGACGTAACTTCAGCAACAATTTATAACGTTATGGAATTAATTGACATAGTATTGAGTAACCAACATGTTAAAAAAATGCAAGTTCTTTACCACATCCTGTGACGCCTTCATTGACATTTCAATTTTAGTTTATTCACAACTGGGTTCTATACACCTTCAAATAGATTACTATTCAGCTGTCTCCTATTTTCATTATAGTATTTAGCATTATATAGCATTGAAGCATAATTTTGCTGAACTTGGCTTTTTTTTTTTTTTGTTTTCGGGTAGTCTAAACTAGCTTAAAACTCTAAGAAGACATATGTCAACAGTTTAGGTGCAGAACAGTGTTAGGCGGGGTGTGCAGAGAAATCCTCAATACCCTAGTGGGAAGTAACCAATCTTTGTGTCCCAACTAGTAAGGTATAAGTGAATCCATGCTGACCGTTGTCCTTGTTGTTCTCTATCTGGTCTAGAGTTTTGTTTGTTTGTTTTGAGGAATTTCTGGAGCGATCTTGATGGTCATTGCCAGACAGGGTGGGGACCCAAGCTTGGAACCAAAGGAGGACCAGATAAAGCTCCTCTCCTGAGTCCCAAGGAAGTTTACTGTTCTTCTGTTTCTGCGGACTGCTCAGAGCTCCTGGCTGTTGTTCTGATGCCCTTAACCAGCATATGAATAAGTGACTTGTGTGTGAGGTCTGGACAATGGAGTATTTGAAAATCTCACAAATGAGTCTCAGGGCAACCAGTGCTAGGAAACAAGATACGATGTGAACAGCTTCAAGAAGATTCATTAAAGCCTGTAATGTAAGGCTAAGAGAATAGCCTTACATTTGTTAGAAGTTAAGTGCATCCTATCTCCACCTCAGTCGAGTGGAAACCACTGAGTAGTTGAAGTAAGGAAAGATTTCATTGACCTTAACTGAAAACTAAAAAGTTAACGAATACTCATTTTTTGGTCCTCCAGAAATTTGGAAACTGAAATCCCACCACCCTCAGGAAACTTGGACAGTTTATTCAGCTATTCTAACACAGAATCTCCTGATTTTGAATTGCAGAAGAATAATTTCTGTCCTTCACTTGTCACTAATATTACCGAAAAAGTCATCATAGTATCATCTGCCTTTTTTCTTGTAAGTAAACTTAACATTTAGCAAAGGGAATTTGATGATAGCACTGCTCAATAGCAATTCAATGAAATAGGAGGAAAAAATTAACTGAAGTTTAGATAGGAAGTTACAGTAAAGGGATTGTGACCATCGTATATCCCACACACTGGACTTTTCATTGTTTCTTCCTTTCCAGAGATAACAAGCAGAGGCGAAAACCATGCTGTGCAATAAGCTTCAGAGTTTTGAAATATTTAAGAAATAACAACCAGAGTTTAAAAATAGCTTCATGAAGAAAAATCAACATGTTCCAGACTTGGGACATGTAGAAGAGTACATCTTAAAGATCATAATGCTTTCAAAATAGAGACAAGACAAGTGTATTCTCCAACTCACCCAAGACAACTTACCGTGTAAATGCTGGGCAACAGATAGTACAGGTAAAATACCGATGGCCCTCTGGGTCTAGTTTAGGCCCTTAAAGCCAACCTCACATTTGGAGCAGATCCTCCCTCACCTTGAAGAATAACGCTGTGTTTCCAGCACTCCATATACTGCTGGAGTAGAATCACACATCTACATTTACTACATTTACACGCTGCTAGGCCCCAAAATAAGCTTTTTAAAATATATTATCTCTTTGCAATAATTTTCATAGCAGGGAAATTTCTTTTAATTTTGAGATAATTTGGATACATTGTTTTATAACTGTCTTAACAAATATTATGAATGTAATTCACTGCCTGATACATTCATTAAGCAATCTGATTTGCTCAGGTCGCATATGTCACAGGCTCTTTAATAGATTCAGTCAGAAACGAATTCTAAATTCTCACATTGGCTAATCACATCATTTATGTGGTATGTTTACTGATTCAATATCAGACTTGAGAAAGACTTTAACTTTAGAAAGTCTCAATCTGCTGTCAAGGATACTCCAAGGTGGGTGGGTTTGAACTTATGGATTTCAGTGTCCATAACTGCTGGAGTACCAGGATGTGAAGATGAGTTAGGTAAGTTCGATGAAATATTTCCTTCCTTCAAATGCCACAGTGGTTTCCACTTGACTCTGAAATGGAGACAGAATGTGCTTAACTTGTAATGTAGGTCATTGCCCAGAATGGTCTCAGCCTTACTTTCCAAATTTTCTTGCACTTTTTCTGGTGCTGTTCACATTGTATCTTGTTTTCCATTACTGGTTGCCCTGAGACTCATCTGTGAGATTTTCAAATACACCATTGCCCAGACCTCATGTACAAACCACTGATTCATATGCTGGTATAGAACCAGACTTGGTAAAAGATCTCCAGCTGATGTGTCTTCATGATTGTGAATTTGTAACAGTATTTTAAAGATTTATCTATTTTTATTTAAAGGCATTTTTACAGAGAAAGAAGTACAGACAGATAGAAAGATCATCATTTTCTGATTCACTCGCCAAGTTTCCACAATAGCCGGAACTGAGCTGATCCAAGCCAGAGTCCAGGAGTCAAGAGCTTTTCTGGGACTCCTGCATGGGTGCAGGTTTTGAAGCCTTGGGGCCATCCTTAGCTAATTTCCCAGGGATGAAGCAGAGAGCTGGCATCCACATAGGATTCTGACAGATGCCGGGCAAAGATTAACCCACTAGACTATCTCCCCATTACATGCAATACACTTTCATAAGATGGGGAAATGCTTACTGGGATTAGAACAACACTTAACATTAGCACTGTCAGATTTATGTGATTCTATATTTATTTCAAGCTCAGAGATCCAAGAGGAATCAACTCTCCATTATGTGTAATGATTTTGTGGTCTAGCAGTGGGGGGCTCTTGTCTATATAGAATTTCTCCTAAGTTTCTATTTTTATTGATTTTATTCTCTTGGATAGTCATAATCAATAACTTAGAAAGCTCTAACTTTTTGCAAATGCATTCTTCCTTTTCCTGGTTTTATTTTCCTGGTCATTGTGGCACAGTAGCAGACATACCTTTTACTTGTATTATATATATATTTTTCTATCGTAGGAACAGTAAGTACCACCTCTCCACTCTCAGCACTCATTTTTGAATGCATCGGGGGAGATCAATGTGTCCCAAACCTCATGCTGAGGGAAGATCTAATGAGAAATAGGAGTCATAGTTTGATGAGCTACTTTATGTCCTGCAGGAAAGACACAAAATATCTCCCTCTCCTATCTGCCCTTGGGCAGCCCATTTATCCCTTGAATCTCCACACCAACAAACCAATCAAGGAAACGCCTGAGCTGTGTGCACATGACTGAGAAGAAAGGGTAAAAAAAAACACACAGTGTCTGGAGCTGTTGTCCACACACTACACTGTGCTCACCCTCTAGGTAGGTCAGGTGGCATATGGAGAGCAGTGCTCTGGCTTCCAGCATTGCTGTGAGAACCTTCATGTCCTTTGTTTTCCAAGCCCTGTTGTGACTTTCTGAGTAAAATCTGAGGTTCTACTGTGCATGTTTCCTTACAGGTGGGAGATGGTCTGTGGCCTGACCCAGAGGATGGGGAGCATAAGCCACTCCTTTGTAAATGCTCCAGGAGACTTTTCCTGGGGTTCTCTAAGTTTCTAGGAGGCCCTGTGTGCACATGATGTGTGCTTTAGTATCTGAGGATGGGGAGAACATGAGGGAGGGGAGAGAAGGGAGGTGGAGTTGAATGGTTCTTTCAACTGTGAGAGAGAATGCTGTGGACAAGGAGCACTGATTCCTGTGCTATAAACATTGTTAAAGTTTTCTTCCACAGACTTGCTACAATGCCTTTCTTCTCACCATGGATCACAGCAGTTTTCATCATTTCCTTGACATTCCCTTTTCATTCTGGTGAGTATATCTTCCATCTGTCCATGAAGCATTTTGCATACCTGAAATGAAGCAAGCCCTTGTTTTAATGAGTGATTGTACAGTGTTGTCTTTTAGGGCTTGCATACTGTCAGCTCGACAATTTGAAATGTCCTTTTCAAATTTCAGCTGTGGATCACCTTTCTTTCATTTTGTAGAGCTAAAGAAGTCATTACACTGGGCAGTAGATCTTAGATTATTATTTCTTTGGGATGAAACATCTCTGCTTACCATTATGCCCATATGTTTATATTACATGATGATTAAATGCCAAGTATACACAATCATGAGTTTTTATTCTGACATTTCTAGAAATCTAAATTTACTTTATTCTTTTAGATCAAGGCCTCATATAAGAGGACTGATTGATATCTCTTTAATAAATTATGTCCTTTTGTTCCACTGTATTTGTTTTTTTTTTTGTATTCTTGCAATTCAGATGAAGTTATTGTTAGGAATTAGAGCCCCCAAGGTTACAATTGAATACTAATGAGTTAAATACTAATTAATGTTTACATATTACATTAATAGCCTAGATAGGGAGTATAATACAAACATTGGCTTTTTTACTGGACTGATTTCTAAAACAAATAGGAAAATTATCATCTAAACACTGGGAAAAGAGGCCACTATAGGAGGATGTGGTGGAATACTAAAAATATAAAGGTTATTTTAATATGTAATGAGAATTTTGGAATTGTAAGATATTCATTTTTGTATTCATTTTGTGTATGTAACAATTTAGTATTACCAAAATGTTCACTTTACTACTTGCCTGTCAGTACACAGTGCATAGAGGTTTCTGCTACTAGGAAATGTGGGAAATTCACATGATAGAGTATGCTACTTATTTACATTTTCTTCCTATTTTAATTCTTCATCTGTGTGTTGCTTGCAGAAACCGGTTTTAACCCTATAACAGAAGTTCGCAAAGAGGTAAATTTATATTGATGAATTTGGAAGTTGAAATAGTAAATTCTAACATAAAATGTCAACCAACAAATGTATACCCACTCAAACAAAGGAAGCATATCTATATAAAACAGCATGCTATTGAAACCTATGGTATTATTATACTGAAGGCTATAGAGTTCATCTTTCAGCTATATAAAACTGTTGGGCTTTAATGACAAGATGAAACTATTCCACTATGTTAAAATTCCACGAGTAGACATAAACTTGTTGTACTCTGTATCTAATGTATGTGAAAGGATGTTGAAGAAGAACTGTTCACCCTAACAAGCAAGAGGAATAAAACAAACAGTAATCCCATTATACACTTAGGGATGGATAAAGTTATCATTTTCATATTTTCACATTTTGGAATAGTATATGGATGAAAGGCAATAAGTTCTATTTCTAAACAACTATGTAAAGACCAAAGTACTTAAACAAAATTAAGGCATGTAAGCAATGCACACAGTGTTATTATAGGTTCAGTTGCTGCTAATTTTTTGTAAGAGTAATATTGGGTTTATTCAGCATAGCAATAGAATGTTATGTCTAGCTGTCTTGTGGGCTCCTAGGTTTTTATTGATAAGCTTTGAAACCATATTTAATTTTTCCTCTTCTGTATTTGGAATTTTGTATGAAGAATGAAAAATCATTAAACATTTTTTATCTAATATGTTCAAAACATTTTTTGTTTTCAATAGCCACATTGTGAATCATATTCAGTAAGCATTTGCAACAAAAATATTGATAGAATCTGTGCAAGCAATGGCCAGACTTATTACAATATATGTTGGTTCTGCAGTGCAAAGCGGTAAGAATCACAGATTAAATTGCAACTCTTCAGCAGAAATAAAGAAAGCCTCATCAAATGATAATAAAAACCATGTTTCTATTCCCCTGGGAGAAAGATTCAAAAGAATGTATTGTATCTCTGTATTCATAGAAACCACAACACACTTTAACTTCTTCCTGAAGTTTTGTTTCTAAAAGCAATTTTGTCAGAAGTTGTGTAGTTGACTTCTCAGTGTACCTGTATTTTATTTAAACCAGTTAATTTAACTTAGTGTGATTGTTGCTAGTTACTGCTGACTACAGAACTCAGAAATCCCTCACATTGGGCCCCTAGTACTAAGAGAACTCCTCCCTCCTAATCTGATGACAACTCTCAGTCCTTCTTAGTCCATTCTAGAACATTCCAGCAGATCTTCCTTCCTATTTCCTTCAATCTTAAAGAGTTTACTGCTAAATGTTCTGCCAGCATTCCTGTCTATCACACTGTGGCTTTCACTCACAAGTATTTCCTCCTGTTAAACTCTTGTGTATGTTATATGCAAACTGACTTTCCCCTGGAGATCCACTCAAACAAATCCTACTCCTTTCCTCTTCTGTGAATGAATGAGCAATTCCCAAGATAGAATCAGAACTAGGTTGAAGGAAGGGCTAGGTTTTCCCAGATTGGTCCATGTAAAAGGAATTGGATGGAGCTGCATCTCAAGTGGAAGTGGAGAACAGACTCTGTGAATTGTCTTATGTTCAAAACATTACTGAGAAGTGTTTTATGCAGTATTCAGTGAAGTTACAATCTTCTTTCAGTTATTTGCTTTTTTTTCTCTTTGTCCTCTCCTTATAGAATGAAAAATGATACATTTTCATTCGTTCATTATGGTGCTTGTTCTCCAAACTGACCTACATATTTCTGTGGCTTCCTTGCAATCCCAATTATGGTGGATTCTACAATCAACTAAAATCTCTTTAATTAGTGTCTTAAGTTCCTCGATGATCAAATGAACACATGTGTGATACCCACCTAAGATGGGACATGGGACAGTAAATAATTTTCCAACACTAACAACCTGTAACTGAATTACCTTTGTTCTCAGTGTTGAATTTTTCAATAATGACCTTATTTTTTGTTTGGCAATACAATGGAATGATTTTTAAGCACAAATATTTTTATCAATAAAATATTAAACAGTTTGTTCAGATATTTTTTTTCATGTTCTTTCTATCTTGGGAAAGCAGTGAAAATGACCCAAGAACTTGGAGAGACTCAGAAGAAGCTTCTTGATTCTGCTTTTAGACCCACGCATCCTTGGCTACTGTTGCATTGGGTAGTGAAACAGTGGATTAACTTTCTGTCTGTGTGTCTATTATCCCAGCACTTATAACTCTACATTTCAAATAAATTCTTTTCTTTTTTTTTTAAATGGTGTGAATTTTTTGTAAGTAAGATTCGTTGGATTATAAACTACAAATAGTAACTTGCAACACTATGTGCCTGATGTGGAGACCTTGTTTAATTTGCTCTTTATCCCTCCATTTCAACTTTTTTCATGTGTTCTATGTTCTTATGTTTTTTTTTCACAATGATTTTATTTTTATTTTAAAGTCACATTTATAGAGAGAAGGAGGAACAGAAAGATCTTTCATCACCTGGTTCACTCCTCAGGTGGCCAAAGGGCCAGAGCTGAGCAATTCTAATGCCAGGAGCCTCTTCCGGGTATCCCACACAGGAGCCAAATCCAAAGGCTTTTGGTCACCATCTACTGCCTTCCTAAGCCATAAGCAGGACACCAGATCAAAAGTTGATCCCATATGGTATCCTACTTCATGCCAGGCGATAACTTTAGCTACTAGGCTACAGAGATAGGATATGTCTTTAGCTACCTTGAAATTTCTCCTCCTTCTACTTTTTTTTTTTTTAAACTATTTGAGATGGAGGGAGACAGACAGATTCCACCAAGTAATTTATTCTCCAAATGACCAATGACCAGTGGTGGACTGCTGGAGAAATAAGACTGGAATTATTATGACCCTCACCTATGGGTGGCAAGGACTCTATCTCTTGAGGGTGTCTGGAGAGAGCGTAGAAGCTCCACACATCTTCTTCCAATCCGTGCCCTTGGTGTATTTTGTATCTTGATGTTCTCAAGTGGTTCTTCTTCTAACAAACAAGTCATTGTAAGTAAGTAGCATGCTGCCCTAATTGTATGAATTTCTCTAGTAGGTACTCAGACCTCATAAGGAGGTTGTGGCAATCTGTGCTTTGTAGCCAAGTCCAACATAAATTATGGATAATCTGGCATGTACTGCTTGTGATTGGCATCTGAAGTGGGGACAGTTTTCTGGAGTTGAGCTTATATTTTTGATGCTGAGGGTCACAGCAACTTCAATTAGTGTCAGACTGTATGGAATTGCAGGATATCCAGTCAGTGTTAATAGAGAATTGGAGAACAGCTCAACTGGGGAAACCCCCAACCATTACAATGACCAGAACACTGTGTTGAGAGTTTAATTTTTCCCACTGCTTGCCCATGTGGAAATCTGTGGTCAGTTTTTGTTCTGGCTATATGAGCTTTTGCAAATTTTGCTCTTTGTCTATTATCAGTTTCTAAATTATACTGCCAAAATACCATAGACCAGAGTTTTGGAGAGGATCATATGACTATTAAGTACATCAATTTCAACTTAGATTTTCGTAGGGACTCCTAAAGGGATGTGACACACTGGGTGTCAAGGAACTACTAGCCACCAAATGAAATAAGATCATTACTTGAACCAATATCAGGATATTCCATGAAAGTTATTTTAATTTAACTATTTTATTGAGACTGTGTACATACCAAGAAATGCACATCAGTGTACAGATAAACAATTTTTTGTCCTCTATTATCAATAGCTACCATCCAAGATCTGAACACAGTATTAGTTTTCTATTAGGATAATAAATCATTGTTGTTTTTTACCTTAAAATTGAAGAATACACATTATGCAGGAGTTAAACAGCAATAATTTAATTTTGAGCTCTACAAATGAAGTGGTATTTTAAATGGCAATGTTGAAATAAAGAAGGAAAAAATTGTAACCCTATTAGCTTGTTTAATCATTTATGGTTGGCTTCTAGTGAAAAATATTAAAACTGAACACAAAAGTTCATGATAAATCCAAGAAATCATTTTCTAAATTTTAAGACAATGGGAAATAGCATAATTTAGTAGCTATTTATTCTAAATGATATTGCAACACACTATTGGGCAGTATAGTCGTATAAATGTTTTATAATAATTGCTAAATGATTGCTTACCTCAAAAGAAAAGATTAAACTTATAAGAAAGAACCTCTATTAAATCTACTGGTCTAGTGTAGAAATACTTATTAAGTTCACATCTTATGGCAATTCCCCTCCCTTTTTTTTTTTGGTTGCTGTTGTTCTTTTTTGATTCCCTTACACATTTTGGATCACTTGCTTGGAAAGCTTTCTGTTCCTATCTAGTGATCTGTAATTGCTGATATTATCTTTTTGTTCTCTCCACACTGCACTTAGATTGATCAGATCAAATTTTCTCCAGTCTCGGGAGAGAAGCTCTGTGAAGAACTAGTTGTGAGCATCTTGCATGAGTTGCTTTAAGCACTTCAGGAAGAACACACATTCCCCCCTCCCCCCACTCACCACCACCACCACATTTCATGGCTGTGGATCGTGCAAGTTCTCCACTCTCAGATCAAGAAGGAAACCTTAACAGATCTACTTGATGAAGGAGAAAAGCTAAAATAAGGACTCTGCAGGACACTTTAGCTCTGTGTTCACTACCTGTAGTAATCATATGTGAAATGTAAGGAGGCAGTCCTGGTGTACAAGATTCCTTTCAGAAAGACCAGATCCTGTTTTTGAGGAAAACCCTGGAAAGCAAGAGTGCTTTCTTGAGCTACAGCCACACTCCTAGGGGTGACCTGAAGGGTTGCAGAGTAAATAGCACCTTCTTATTTGTGGAAAGAGGATGTTTGTTTGCATGATCTCTTCATATGTAGACGACAGTCTCCCTTTCATTGAAACTGAACGCGGGAACTGTTCTGAGTTAGGATCCCGGGTTGCTGGAGCCTCCTGTGCCAAAGACACCCTTTACCAAAGTGGACTTGGATTGTTTGCCTGTCCACTGGAAATACATGGTACCTACGCTTATTAACTTGTCTGTCATTGAGAGGCTGCAGAATGAATTATCCTGAGCCCATGAGCACTCCTAATGCAGAGATGTTGGTTTCTCTTTCTTTCGAAAGTGTGGGGAAATGGGTACTTAGTACTAGGCGAGGAAATAAACAAGATGAGTCTGGGCCATCTCCTGTGCTGACAGTGGGGAAGTGTTTCATAGCAATTAAGTCGTGCCATATAACGGGAAAGTCATTCTTCTGAATCCCTGTAGCCAAGTTTGGTGAAAACAAAAGGAAAATTTGGTGTAAAAAAATGTTTCTCTTTATGAGGACAGCATACATGTATGGTAACAAGATTATTTAGTGAATCATTTATGTTCAAATTACCTGTTTGGAACTGTATTAACTACCTAAATCTCATTTTGTTGGAGTGAGTGATGTTATTATTTTTCTTACCATGCATTCTCACTTGTTTCATCAAATGGAATGTAATTAGCATGCATAAAATTTAAGAGATGTTTAATGAAGAGATGGACAAATACTAAGTTTTTGAATAGTACCTTACACAAAACGGGATTTAGTGGCCAGTGAATTGGCTCTATTGGCCAAACCTCTGCCTCCCTAGTACCAGCCTCTCATATGGTGCCAATTTGTGTCCCGACAGCTCTGCTTTCTTTTCAACTTAAAGTATACTAAAATAGTGACTGACGGCCCAACGTCTTTGGACCCTCCCCAGGTATGGTAAATCTTTGGCTCCTGGCTTTGGATTGATTATCACCCAATTTTGAAGCCAACTGAGGAGTTTACTAGCAGATGGAGGATTTTTACTCTCATTGCTCTCATTGCTCTCCTTCTCTCTGTAAATCTGTCTTTGCGATAAAAATAGTTTTTTTTAAAAAAAAATGTTGTATATCTCATTGAAATAATTTTTATAGCAGGAATGTTTCTTTTATTCTTGATATAATGTGGATACATTGTTTTTGAATTATTTTAGTTTAAGAATATTATGACTGAATTAGACATTGCTATATATTTTTAATACCTAGTATATTTTTAAGCAATCTCATTTGGTCAGGTCTAGTATTGCATGTTTCACAGGCTTTCTAATAGAAGCTGCATTTTATTCAATCAGACACAAATTCTATGCTTTCACACTGGCTGATCTCATTTATGTTGTATGTTTGATGATTCACTTTCACACACGTAAGAATGTCTGAATATGCTGGCAAGGATACTCCATCACCTAGGCCTCATGCGCAAACAAAGGATTCACTCACTGGGGATAGTGCTCGTGTGAGTAAAAGCTCTCTATCTAATATGTCTTCCTTATTTTGACTTTGAGATATAGTATTTTTAAAGATTTATTTATTTTTATTGAAAGGCAATTTTAGAGAGAGAAGAAGAGAGAAAAAAAAAAGATCTTTCATCTGCTGGTTCACATCCCGTATGGCTGCAACAGCTAGAGCTGAATCAATTCTAAGCCAGGAGCCTGGAGTTTTCTGGGACTCCCACTTGGGTGCAGAGTTTTGAGGCTGTAGACCCTCTCAATGACTTTCTCAGGTCTCAAGCAGGGAGACTGGTGGAAGTGGAGCAGATGGGATACGAACTCTACCCATATGGGGACTGGCAGATGCTAGGCAAGGATTTATCCCCAGGGCTATTGCGCCAGGCCCTGCAACTTATTTTTACAAGATAGGATCATTGGAACTCTACATTAGGAATTGCAAATTTATGTAACTCTATGTTTAACTCAGCTCAGAGATCCAAGAGGAATCCAATCTCCATTAAGTCTGATGTGTTTCTGACCTAGCAGGTTAGGCACTTCTCCATGTAGAATTTTTCATATGTATTTTCTACATGTATTAATTTTATTCTCTTGGACATTCATTCATACCCAGTTAGTTAGACAGCATTTACTTCTTCTTTGTTTTTCTATAATAGGATCTATAATTAGCACCTCTCCACTCTCACCAGTGATTTTTGAATGCATCCGCTGAGATCAACGTGTCCCAAACCTTTGGCTAAGGGCAGATCTATTGAGAAATAGGAGAAATATTTCTTATGAGATGCTTTGTGACCTCCACGAAGGACAGAAAATATCGCTCTCCTATCTGCCCTTGGGCAGCCCATTTATCCCTTGCATCTCCACACCAACAAACCAACCAAGGAAACTCTTGAGCTGCATGTACTTGACTGAGAAGAAAGGGTGAATAAAACACACAGTGTCTGGAGCTGTTGTCCACACACTACACTGCGCTCCACCTCCAGGTAGGTCAGGAGGCATATGGAGAGCAGTGCTCTGGCTTCCAGCATTGCTGTGAGAACCTTCATGTCCTTTCTTTGCAAAGTTCTGTTGTGACTTTCTGAGTAAAATCTGAGGTTCTACTGTGCATGTTTCCTTACAGGTGGGAGATGGTCTGTGGCCTGACCCAGAGAATGGGGAGCATAAGCCACTCCTTTGTAAATGTTCCAGGAGACTTTTCCTGGGGTTCTCTAAGTTTCTAGGAGGCCCTGTGTGCACATGATGTGTGCTTTAGTATCTGAGGATGGGGAGAACATGAGGGAGGGGAGAGAAGGGAGGTGGAGTTGAATGGTTCTTTCAACTGTGAGAGAGAATGCTGTGGACAAGGAGCACTGATTCTTGTGCTATAAACATTGTTAAAGTTTTCTTCCACAGACTTGCTACAATGCCTTTCTTCTCACCATGGATCACAGCAGTTTTCATCATTTCCTTGACATTCTTTCTACATTGTGGTGAGTATATCTTCCATCTGTCCATGAAGCAGTTTACATACATTAAATGGAACAAGCCCTTGTTTTAATGAGTGATTGGACAGTATTGTCTTTTAGGTTTTGCGTACTGTCAGCTGGCGAAATAAGACAGGACAATTTGAAATGTCCTTTTCAAATTTCAGCTGTGGATCACTTTTCTTTCATTACCTACATTAGCTGTAATAGTTAAATGAATTTAGCCATCTAAAGATGGTTAAATGTCAAGTGTGCCGAAAATGATTCTTTATACTTGGCATTTCTTGTAAATCTAGTATTTAGATCATTCTTTTAGGTCAAAGCCTCGTATAAGAGACCTCATTGAATAGTCAGCTGACAAATTATCATTCTTGATGTTCCACTGTATTCTTGATTTTCAGATTAGACTATTATGAGAATCAGATACAGCATTCACATTATAATTAAATGGTAATGACTGATATACAAATTAATGTCTAAATATTACATTAAGAGAATGTGTTGCAGAAGTGTAATGTAAATACTAGCTTTTTTTTTGGCAAGACTGTCTTGTAGTAGAAATGGAATAATCATGATAAAAAGTGGAAAAAGAAAGCCACTACAGAATTTGGTGGAATATATAATAGTACAGAAGAATATTTTTATAGGTAATGTGAATTTTAAAATTGCAGAATATTCTAGTTTTTTTAAGATTTATTTATTTTTATTGGAAAGGCAGATATACAAAGAGAAGGAGAGACAGAGAGTAAGATCTTCCATCCAATGGTTCACCCCCCAAGTGGCCGCAACAGCTGGAGCTGAACCAATCCAAAGCCAGGTGTCGTCCTTGATTGCATTCCCAGGTCACAAGCAAGGAGCTGGATGGGGAGTGGAGCTGCCGGGATTCAAACTGGTGCCCATATGGGATCCTGGCGCGTTCAAGGCGAGGACTTTTGCGGCTACGCTATCATGCCGGGCTCAGAATATTCTGTATTGTAGTAATTTTTTGTACTTAAGATTTCAGTGTCCCAAGAATGTTCATTGATTAATCGCCTGTCACTAGTATCAGCACACAATTTGCATAGGCTTCTGCTACGAATAAATGTGGGAAATTCACAAGATAGAGTATGCTACTGTCTCCATTTTCTTATTTTTAATTCTTCATCTGTGTGTTGCTTGCAGAAACCGGTATTTTCCCTTCATCAACACAACTCAAACGAGTAAGTTAATACTGATAAATATTTACATAGGAAGCAGAAAATCTAATAGAAACTGTCAACAAAGTGCACAACTTTCAAACAGAAGAAACAAAAAGTGTAAAACAGCATGCTATTGAAACCTATGGTATTATTATACTGAAGGCTATAGAGTTCATCTTTCAGCTATATAAAACTGATGGGCTTTTATGACAAGATGAAACTATTCCACTATGTTAAAATTCCACGAGTAGACATAAGCTTGTTGTACTCTGTATCTAATGTATGTGAAAGGATGTTGAAGAAGAACTGTTCACCCTAACAAGCAAGAGGAATAAAACAAACAGTAATCCCATTATACACTTAGGGATGGATAAAGTTATCATTTTCATATTTTCACATTTTGGAATAGTATATGGATGAAAGGCAATAAGTTCTATTTCTAAACAACTATATAGAGGCCAAAGTAGTTTTAAAAATTAAGGCATGTAAGGAATACACACAGTGTTATAGATGTAAATGATCAACATGGTGAATGTATAACAAATAATGTTACAAGTAGAGTTGTATGTGATTTTACACATGTATTTGCAAACAAATGCATATGTGGATAAGTACAAATAATTACCATTGAGAAACATGAAAGAAGAATTAATTCTGTGATTTCTTGATTCACAAAATAATTGAGGACTTTTGACCTGAGAATAAACAGAAGTGGAAGGTCTTGCAAACTTATGAAAGTGGATTCAGTTGCTGCTATGTTTTTTTAAAAGTAATATTGGGTTTATTCAGCATAGCAACAGAATTTTATGTCTAGCTGTCTTGTGGGCTCCTCAGTTTTTATTGATAAGCTTTGAAACCAAATTTAATTATTCCTTTTCTATATTTGGAATTTGTATGAATAATGAAAATATATTGAAATTTGCTTTTTCTAATGAATTCAATGATTTGTGTGTGTGTGTGTTCCACAGCAACGTTGTGAGTCGCAACCAATACACTCTTGCACCGTGGAATATGATCCAATCTGTGGAAGTGATGGCAGTTCTTATCACAATACATGCCTTTTCTGCAGAGAAAAGCGGTAGGAATCCCAGATCAAATTACGACTCTTCAACAAAAAATACAGAAAGCTTCACCCAGTAACAAGAAAAAAAAATTTCTTACGCCCTGGGAGAAAAATTCAAAAGATTGCTATATTATCTCTATATTCATAAAAACCACAAGAACACATTTTAACCTTTTCCTCAAGTTTACTTTCTAAAAGCAGTTTTGTTAGAAGTTGTGTGGTTGGCCTCTCAGTGTACCTGTATTTTATTTAAACCAGTTAATTTAACTTAGTGTGATTGTCTGATAATAGCCCTCAGACCTTCTTACAAATACAGGACATTCTAGAACATTCCACCAGATTTCCTGCCCTATCTCCTTCACTCTGAAGGCGTTTGATGCTGAACATTCTGCCAGCCTTCCTATCCATCCAACTGTTGCTCTCAGTCACAAGTGTTTCCTTCACGAAGCCTTTGTATATGTAATCTGCACATTGGTTTCTGTCCCAGAGGATCGACTCAAACAATCCCTAATTCTGTCTTCTGTGTTTGAGCAAGTCCCAATAGGAATCAGAACCAAATTGAAGGAAGGTCAGGTTATGGCAGATGGAGACGAGCCTTGTGCAGGCTGGAAGTAAGTGGGACAGAGCTGTATGTGCAAGCGGAGAACTGATTCTCAGAACTGTCCCAGGTTCAAAACCTAGTGAGATTGTTTTATGCAGGTACTAAGTGAATTTAAAACCTTTTTTCAGTTATTTGCTTTTTTTCTTTATCTCTTCTTTATAGAAAGAAAAATGATTCGTTTTCATTCCTTCATTATGGTCGTTGCGTCTCATAGTGACCTACCCATTTCTGTCTTCTATTGTGACTACATTTATGGTGGATTCTACAATCAACTAAAATCTCCTTCTTTAGTGTCTTAAATTTCTCGATGATCAAATGAACACCTGTGTGGTACCTAAGATGAGATAAGGGACGTTAAATGATTTTCCAACACTAACTAACATCCTGGGACTGAATTACCTTTGTTCTCGGTATTGAATTTTTCAGTAACAACCTGAAAAACTAGTGTCTTCATTTTGTTTTTGAAAATAACATAGCACAATTTTTAATCATGAATGTTTTAATCAATAAAATTTTAACTAGTCTGTTCAAATGTTGTTTTTTCATGTTCTTTCTATCTTTGGTAAAGTAATGATTTATAATACATGGCTATTCTTTGTATGTATAATTAAATATGTTCACAGGTAAATGCATAATACCTTATTTGAGTATTTCTTAAGATTAAAATGCCTAGATTCCTCTTTACCCTAAAGCATCAGGTAAATATGAAAGAAGCAGCAATTGAATAACAATTTTATTTATTCAGAATACAAAATTACTGTATATATACAATTAGGTACTCAAGAAATTGAAAGTAAATATAAAAATCTTTGGAAGATAATACATCAGGTATTAAAGGTAATTTCCACATGGTGATGGAATTTCAGGTTTTTCTTTCTTTCCTACTTTTGGGATCTTCAGTTTTAGTAAAAGACATGAACTTGTTTCAGAAAGGAAAACTCCTCAGTAAGACAATCAAATCCTTCATGGATTTGTCTGGTAATGAATTCTACGCACCCTAGCATTTTCAAATGCTGATACTTAGATATCCAAAAATTTCCTCTATTTTTTGAAATGAAATTGTCATTCAGCAGTGACTTTATTATGGCTCAGAGAAAAACGGGGATTTCTGCCACAGTGTCTCCATTACTGTAGCTTTACAGGAAGTCTTAGACTCAGATAGCTTGAATTGTCTCTCATTGTTTCTCTGCTTTTTTTTTTTTATGGTGTTAGCTATTCTAGGTGTTTTGTCATTTCATACAAACTTGTGAGTTTACAATTTTTCTTTTTAGTTTATAAGATAAAGTAACAGATATGCAAAGAAAGCGGAAGAGATCTTCCGTGTGCTGGTTCTCTCTCTAAATTGCTGCCCTAACCAGGTCTTGATCAGATTTGTGCAAGCAGTCCGATTACTTTCTAATAAAAAAGTAATAACAATTAAATAAATCTTTTAAAAAAGAAACAAAAAATCAGGAGATTCTGTATTAAAATGTCTAAATATGCTGTCAGGGTTACTCCAAAGTGGGTGGGTTTGAACTTAGGGATTTCAGTGTCCATAACTGCTGGAGTACCAGGATGTGAAGATGAGTTAGGTAAGTTCGATGAAATATATCCTTACTTCAAATCCCACGGAGGTTTCCACTTGACTCTGAGATGGAGACAGAATGTGCTTAACTTGTAGGTCATTGCCCAGAATGGTCTCAGCCTTATTTTCCAAATTTTCTTGCACTTTTTGGTGCTATTTACATCATGTCTTGTTTACCAGCACTTGTTGCCCTGAGACTCATCTGTGAGATTTTCAAATACGCCATTGCCCAGGCCTCATGCACAAACTACTGGTTCATATACATGAGATATAACTGAACGTTGGTAAAATGTCTCCAGTTGGTATCTCTTCCCGATTTTGAAATTGTAATATTGCTTTGTAAGGTGCTCCTATTTGGGGAAATCTTTAATGGGAGTACAAGAACACTTTACATTTGCACTTGCATAATTATGTGAATCTACATTTACCTTAACTCAGAACTCCAATAAGAATCAAATCTCCATTAATAGTAGGATGTTTCTGGTCTTGCAGTTTAGGCACTGTCTATGTAGAATTTCCCAAAGGCATACTTCTTTTTCCTGATTTTATTCTCTTGGCCACTGCTGAACAGTAGATTTCAAAGCTTTTACTTCTACTTTTTCTGTTGTTGTTTTTTCTTCTATCATAGGATCTCTGTGTTCCACCCTTCCACTCACATTTTTGAATGCATCAGATGAGAACAAGTTGTTCCAAACCTCTTGCTGAGGGAAGGACTAATTAGAAATATGTGAAATATTTCTTATGAGTTACTTTATGACCTCCAGGAAGGACACAAAATATCTCTCTATCTTCCTTGGGTAGCTCTTTTACCCCCACAAATCTCCCACCAACAAACCAATTGTTGTAAATCAGAATGCAGAGATTTCAACCTTTGAAGGAAAATGAATTTATTACAGACAAGGGCAGCAACTGTCTCACAGAATAGTGCACCAAGGGGAAGAAAAATAGGGTTTTTGTAGTTAATATACAAAAATTCATGTTACATGCACAGCTGCAGGGTGGTCACTGGTAGCAATCTTTTAATTCTAAAAGCAATAAAGTGTCATCAGCCAAAGCACAAGTTACTGATTTCAGCAGGCCCTAAAACAAACAGTAACATTAAACAGGCCAGAGCCGCTTAGTCTTCCAAGAGCCTCACCCCAACTGGCACCTTCGCAAAATTCATGGTCGGTCCTGTCGTAGTTGTCCATCTGAGCTGATCCATATCATTTCCCCCTTTTGTTTTTAAACATTTGAAACATAATACATTAGAACACCCTGTGATGGCGTGCAGTTAACTTGAGGGTGAAGAAATTTATCCAGGCTACATAAAGAGAACAAAAACATTCAATAATAGGTAGAAAGGATACAAGTGATCCACTTCTTCAATACCTATTCTTATTTAAGACTAAGAGCTGAGACACACTAAGCTATGTCTTCTAATAACTGATTATCATATTTGAGGTTTAATTGGGTTTGAAAAGTTGTCATAATAGCAGATAAAACTCTATTTCAGATTACTCATTACCATCATTAGATAATGTCTTTTAACCCTCTTCCAGTCAAACTGTATACTATTTTAAGGCACAGGAATCACACATTCAGTAGCATAATTTTAGTCACATTTTAGAAATAGTTGCTGGTTAGCAGATTATATTTGGTCTCCTAGTATGATAACAGTTCATTCCAAATCGACTACTTTGGCCTGTAATTGACTGTTGATTTGTCTTTGGGTAACCCATAGATGTTCTGAATCTCTTTGTCATTTTTGCACCAAATGTGCAGTCTGAACTCCCTGATACAAGGCCACTCGAGGTGCAGCTGCAAGAGTGATAGCAATCATTCCCAGTATAGCTAAAATTAACATTCCTACAAACTGTCCAGCCTGTTTTTTAAGTCCTTGAATCAAGGTATGAAGAATAAATGTGAACACCAACTCCTTCCATTCCCTTTACAGTCTAACAACCCCATACAAGCCCTCAGTAAATATATAGAATCCTGGGAGAAATTTACAGTATTGTTTGCAGATACCTGTATACAAAGAACAATTAATGCATGCATGACAGAGAATTCACTGATTCATTTCAATGTGCATGTCCTGTCAGCAACACAAAGGGTAGACAAACACAAACTTGACTATAAACAGTTGATTTTTTTTTTTTATAAATGACACTGAGAGGTTCCCAGTGTAGTTGGAAATAGTCCCTATCTAAGTCTTCATAGGTTCCAAAGCGTTGACTAGTTACCAAATGTGATCCTGATGGGTGTCTCCAGGAATGTAAGGAGAAGGAACAGCCACGTCATAGCTGAAGCAGAGGACAGAGTGGTGATGGCAACTGTGGCCTACATTTTACTAGTAGTCTTCACCTGTTCTGAAACTCATGAACGTACACAAAACTGAATTAGACTTCTGTAAATTTTTTTTCAGACATATTTAAACAATGAGAAATTAATGAGGCAGAGAACAAAAAAATTACCCTAATAGAAAATGTTGTAGATAAAAATGAGAACATTGGCTTCATTTATAAAAATGGCTATTTAGCAAAAAGATATATGAGTAACATCCATTTGCCACAATTGATTAGAACGTTGTTTTTGAAGATTTGCAAGTGTAGGGTGAGGAGCACCATGTAAAAAGGCACGGAAGAAATGACAGTGAAATTTTGAGGGCTATTAATGCCCAATTAGCATTTCCAATAGTAGCAGTGTTAAGTCTGTTACTCTTGTATAGGCACAAATTGTATAGGATATTGGTGGTTTACAAAGCTCTGATTATTTGGGATCGAGAGCTGGCCCTGGCAGGAGTTTCCTGACCACAGGCCTAGGCCATCAAAATCAATTTTAGATATACATTGTTTTGTCCAATTCAGGCTTCTATGGCATTTTAGGGGAATGATCCTTAAAGCTGAAAATCTAAAAGTGCCATATTTTTTAAGTTAAAAGATGTGCTCAGCATTGCTTTTTAAAGTGTCTGGGCTTTCAGAATTATAACATTAAAGCTAATTTTGCTTTTGCCTAGTGCTTTAGTGTAGTAGCCAATAAATTAGCCTTATAGGACTCAGACCCTATAGCCATACAGATCCTTACAAACCTGTCACAGAGCCCGCAGCAGCCTTAATTGGACACCAAGTAGGTTGGCATTCGGAATTTGCATTTTTATAAGCCAAGGTTTGTAAAAGTAAATCTCAGACATCTGGTTGAAAAATCCCTTTTTGTAGTGCAGCTTTTAGCCAAGCTGTGAAAGCCACATAAGGTTCCTTATTTCCCTGTGTCATTTTTACAACTGAGAAGGGAGTCTGCCCAGCCTCTTGTACCATGCTCGTATGTGCTTAATATTATGTGCTTAATGTCACATAAGTAGAATGCATTCCATATATGGAAACTGCTTTCTTAAATTCCTTAAAGACATTAATGTCCATGTAGTGATATTTAAAAGGTCAGCTCCCTCTGCAAAGTCTGGACCAGCCTCTCCAGCGTTCACTGCCTTAGAGTTACAGGAAAGGCAGAGGGAGAAGGAATCCGAGGCTCAACTCCGGAAAGTGAAAAGTGACTTCGGCCATGTTGCCCAGGAGCTGGAGGAGGGGACAGGTGCCAGGGAGCATTTTAGGAGCAGCAGCAGCTGCAGCAGGCCTCTCAGGTTTTGTTCATTTAAAACGATCAGGCTCACTGGCTGTTTTTCTAATTTTCAGTAATAATACATTATACAGAGATTTGGTAATTATTACATCAGATGCCTCAGATTCGTTGCTACTTTCTCCTTGATTCTCCTCAGACGATGGGAAGCTTGCGAACCAGCACCAACTTTTGAGTCCTGCTTTTTGCTTTTTTTCCTCCTGGGCGGGAGAGGCTTGGGGGAAAAAGGCAGCGAAGGTCGTTTTGAATCTCTTTTGAGGATGGTAAACACCTGAGTCCTGTCATTTTTTTCAGCTGATCCATATCACCAATCAAGGAAACGCCTGAGCTGTGTGCACTTGACTGAGAAGAAAGGGTGAATAAAACACACAGTGTCTGGAGCTGTTGTCCACACACTACACTGCGCTCACCCTCCAGGTAGGTCAGGTGGCATATGGAGAGCAGCACTCTGGCTTCCAGCATTGCTGTGAGAACCTTCCTGCCCTTTTCTTTTCCAAGTCCTGTTGTGACTTTCTGAGTAAAATCTGAGGTTCTGGTGTGCATGTTTCCTTACAGGTGGGAGATTATCTGTGGCCTGACCCAGAGAATGGGGAGCATAAGCCACTCCTTTGTAAATGTTCCAGGAGACTTTTCCTGGGGTTCTCTAAGTTTCTAGGAGGCCCTGTGTGCACATGATGTGTGCTTTAGTATTTGAGGATGAGGAGAACATGATGGAGGAGAGGAGGTGGAATTGAATGGTTCTTTCAACTGTGAGAGAGAATGCTGTGGACAAGGAGCACTGATTCCTGTGCTATAAACATTGTTAAAGTTTTCTTCCACAGACTTGCTACAATGCCTTTCTTCTCACCATGGATCACAGCAGTTTTCATCATTTCCTTGACATTCCCTTTTCATTCTGGTGAGTAAATGTTCCAGCTCTCGGTAAAGCATTAGGAAATGTAGCAAGCCCTTGTTTGAATTAATGATTGGCCAAGATTGCCTTTAGGGGTTTGCACACTGTCAGCTGGTGAAATAAGACAGGACATGTTTCAAATGTCTTTTTCAAATTGTAGCTGTGGATCACCTTTCTTTTATTGCCTACTTTAGAGCTAAAGAAGTATTTACTGGGCAGTAGACCTTGGATTCTTATTCTTCTGGAATGAGATACTTGTTTACCATTTTTGCCCTTATGTTAAATCTCATGAGGGTTAATGCCAAGTGTATACAATCATGACTCCTTTATAACTGCCATTCCTTGGAAATCTAGTATGTAGCTTTGTCTTCTAGTTCAAGACCTCATATAAGAAGAGGAATCCTTGATCTTTTGACAAATTATCTTTCGTAAAGTCCCATTATACTCATAAATTTCAGAGTAAAGTAATTGTGAGGAATCCAATAGACTATTTAAATTACAGTTGGATACTAATGAGTCAAGAGCTAATTAATGTCTACATATTACATGTGAGGGCATATTACAGGACTAGGCTGTCTTGTTTTTAAAATAGGAACATTATAGCGTCTATATTGTCATTGGAAAGCCACTACAGAAGAATTCATTGGAATCTTAAATAATATAGAAAAGTCTTTTTCATGGGTAGTGTGACTTTTTGAATTACAGAATATTCCTAGATATAAAGTCATTTTGTGTACTCAACATTTTAGTACTACCAGCACTCATTTGAATACTTGGTTGCCGTTAGTATCAGTGAGCAATTTGTTAGCCTTCCTCTACTAAGAAATGTGATGATTTGCAATATAGAATATGATTCTGTTTCATTTTTTCTTATTCTTAATTCTTTTTCTATGTTTTGTTTCCAGAAACTTCTTTTGAATCAGCCGCTCGCCGACCTGTAAGTTAACACCAGTCTCAAGCAGGTGCAGGGTCCCAAGGCATTGGGCTGTCCTCTGGTGCCTTCCAAGGCTTTAAGCAGAAAGCTAGATGGGAAGCGGGGTTGCCAGGATTAGAACCAGCACCTTTATGGTACCTCAGCACTTGCAAGGCAAGGACTTCAGCCACTAGGCTACTGCACCAGGCCCAAGAGTACCTGCATTTTTAAAGATAAACTTAGAAACCAAATTTATCTATTCCTTTTCTATTTCTTGAATTTTGTATGAGAATGAACAAAAATTTTATTTAAAACTTCCTTATCTGATAAATTCAATGATTTTTTTATGTTCAATAGCCAAGGTGTGATATGACTGCATATGCTGCTTGCTCTGAAGAACATGATCCTGTCTGTGCAAGCAATGGCAGGACTTACGGCAATTCTTGCAAGTACTGTCATGCACTCAAGTAAGAATAACAGTTCAAATAGCAACTCTTCAGCAGAAATGGAGAGACTACCACAAAATGATAGCAAAAACGATGTTTCTGATGACCTAGTAGAAGCATAGAGAAGATAACTATAGTTTCTATATGCATAGAAACCACAAGAACACACTTTGACCTCTCCCTGGAGCTCGGTGTCTAAAAGCCGTTTTGTTACAAGTTTTGTGTTTGGCCTCTCAGTGTATCTGTGTTGTATAATACAGGTAAAACCATAAACCTGTTCATTTCACTTAGTGTGACTGTTGCTAGTTACTGCTGACACACTGCTGGCTACAGCACTCAGAAATCCCTCACACAGGGCCTCATAGTACTAACAAGGACTCCTCCCACCTAAATGATGACAACCCTCAGTCCTTCTTACAAACACAGGATATTCTAGAACATTCCACCTTATCTCCCTCCCTATTTCCTTCACTCTGAGTTTGCTGCTAAGCGTTCTGCCAGCCTTCCTGTCTATCCCATGGTTGCTCTCACTCACAAATATTTCCCCCTACGAAGCCCTTGTATGTGTAATCTGCAAATTGGCTTCTCCCCTTGGAAATCTATTCACATAAACCCTAAATCTGTCCTCTTCTGTGTCTGAGCAAGTCCCAGGATGGAATCAGAACTGGGCTGGAGGAAGGGCTAGGTTGTGGCAGATGGAGAAGAGCCTTGTTCAAGCTGGAACTAAGTGGGACGGAGCTCCATGTGCCAGGGGAGAACAGATTCTCATAACTGTTCCGGGTTCAAAACCACTTTGAGAAATGTTTTATGCAGGATTCAGTGAATTTAAAATGTTCTTTGCATCATTTATTTTTCTTTTTTTTTCCTGTTCTTTATAGACTTACTAATGCATTTTGGTATAAGCATTATGGCGAATGCTGAAATCTGCCTCACCTACCCATGCCCGTGTTTTCTATTGCGACCCCATTTATGGTGGATTCTACTATCAACTAGAATATCCTTCATTAGTGTCTTATATTCCTCGACAATCAAGTGAACACGTGTGGTACCTAAAATGGGACACGGGACATTAAGGAAAATTCCAACACTAACAACTTGTAACTGAAGCACCTTTATTTTCAGTGTTCAATTTTTCAATGACAAGTTTTTAAACTAATGTCCCTGTTTTATACTTGACAGTAACACAGCATAATTTTTCATAAATACTTTAAATGCTGTTTTCAAGGTTTTACTATCTTTGATAAAATAGGTTATGATACATGAATATTCTTTGTGTCCATCATTAAATGTATTGAAAGATGGATTTCCAATACATTATTTGAGTTTTTGTTAAGAGTACAGGTACCTGGAGTCTTCTTGAGCCTGGTGCAGTGGAGTCTAGGAAGACTGAAATGCTGAATTCTGACATGCCCTACTGCTTAGTCTTAGAATACTATGGTCATAAGCATTGGGAATGTGAATAAATAAAATGTAGTGTACATACGTAATTAAATACCTGTAAGTTCTGTCCAAACGTACTGTAAGGTTTATGAGGCTCGGATGAAAACAGCATATTTTCCATTTTGTTATCAGAGATGACGTCACAAAAGATCCTTTTCCAAAGAACAGTGAATAGTATTCCAGTACTCCTTGCTCATTCACGCACAGCATTTACAGTGCTTCCAAATCGTACTTCTTGGGTAATGCTGCAGTGAAAGTGACAGTGCAGATACCCCTTTGATAGACATATTTTTTAAAGATTTATTTATTTTTATTGCAAAGTCAGATGTACAGAGAGGAGCAGAGACAGAGAGAAATATCTTCCATCTGATGATTCATTGCCCAAGTGACCACAATGGCCACTGCTGCGCTGATCCAAAGCTGGGAGCCAGGACTTCTTCCAGGTCTCCCACATGGATGCAGGATCCCAAGGCTTTGGGCCATCCTCGACTGCTTTCCCAGGCACAAGCAGGGAGCTGAATGGGATCAGGGCCACCGGGATTAGAACCAGTGCCCATATGGGATCCTGGAATGTTCAAGGCAAGGACTTTAACTGCTAGACTATTGTGCTGGGCCCCGTTATCATTTTTAAAGATGCTAATATATCTTGTTAAAATAGTGAAAGTAAATTTTATTGAACAAGATAATTTACTTATAAGGGTTAGAAGCAGAAAGTCTGTATGGCATGTAGCCTATGGGTATAATCTACAAGATTTTGTTTTAATGGAGAAATATGTAAGGGTGTACATAATGTATTACAGAATGTATATGTATTGCCTGGTTAACGAGAAGAATTAGAAAATCCCATATCTAGGTTTAGTGAAAATTTCTTTTGAATTTTAGTTATTCAGATAAACACATCAATGATCAATTTTGCTTCACACTGTAGATGAGGTATAGCTCTGTTCCTATTTTCATTGGAACATATTTTCTTCTCTAACTCTGACATTTTCTGGACATCCTCAGAAAGCCAACTTAAAGCTCTGCCTTTGGATGGCACAACTACTACCTCTTTTATTTTCCATGACATGGATGTCACCTTCATTGAACCTTAGCAGGCCTCCTGAGCCTTGGCCTTCCATCTACCTTTCTTGTCTATAAGAACCTGTTAGAAATAAAGATACAGAAATAATACACTTGTGTTGGGTTTCATGATTCTGGCTATTCATGGAACCCTAGATCAGGCCTGCCTTCCTCAACAATGAGGTAAAGAGAAGGTGGAGAAGTGCTGCAAAACAAAGAGAATTCTTTTCAGTGGGAAGGTGAGTATATATAAACCAACTCTGAGTTCATTACCTGCCTGTATCATCCAGTGAAAGTTGGTTATAATAGAAATGAGGGTGAAATGAAACACACATGTGCACTGAATTATATTTTATTATCTAATTTTGATTTTTGAATAGATTGTCATCAACAATAAATGAAGCTCTAAAAATGGAAAATAAATAGGAAGATATGGACTTGAGTGGCAACAGATGGGCATTTGTTCCAGCACGTAGGACAGCACTTGAGATGCCCACACTCCATATTAGAATGCCTGGGTGTTAGTCCTGGCTCCACTTCTGATTCCAGGTTCCTGTTTATGTGTGCATGGGGTGGGAGGAAGTGAATTACGACTCAAGAACTTAGTTTTCTGCTACGCAAGTGGTAGATTCATATTGATTTCCTGGCTCCTGGCATCTAAGCCCTAGCTACTATAGGCATACCTGGAGTAAACCAGAGAATGAAAATACCTTTTCTCTCTCTTTCTCAATTTCAAAGAAATTTTAAAAAATGTTCAGTGGTAGGGCCCAGCATGGTAGCCTAGTGGTTGAAATCCTCATCTTGCATGCTCCAGGATCCCATATGGGCACCGGTTCTAATCCTGGCAGCCCTGCTTCCTATCCAGTTCCCTGCTTGTGGCCTGGGAAAGCAGTTGAGGATGGCCCTAGGCCTTGGGACCCTGCACCTGTGTGGGAGACCTGGAAAATGCTCCAAGCTGCTGGCTTTCCGGTCATTGCAGTCACTTGGGGAGTGAATTAACAGACAGGAGATCTTCCTCTCTGTTTCTCCTCCTCTCTGTACATCTGACCTTCCAATAAAAATAAGATAAATCTCGATATTCAAAAGGCCTGAGAAAATTGAGAATTAAAAAAAAAATCTCTGGAGTTGAAGGATTCTCTGGAACAAATTTTATTTCAGCGGAACAAATGAAAATGATATTGCTCCATAAATCATGTCTGATTTAGGCTGACCTGACAAACACCCAGGGGCACCTGTTGTTTAAGGAGAGCTGCAAGAGGTTCTGAAGTTCAGGTAATTTCATTTGCATAAATCATTAGCATTTCCCTTCATGGTTAAGATTCAGTTTTCCTTTACTCAACCTGAAAAAAACAGGAAAAGAAAAGAAGAAAGAAATTAAGGTCCACAATAAGGAAGACAATGTAATCATATAAAAGTCACGTAGGAAAGCAAACCTGTGTTCGTACGGCTGTCCGTGACTGCTTTGAGCATCCCTGGGCTCCACGCCAGTCCTTTCTCACCTCTGGACCAAGTGTCTTATTTACACTGAACTGATAACTAGGGTCATTTTGATCAGATGTATGACATAATGTTTGACCCTTTGTATTACTACCAGAGACACATCAAGATTTATTGATTTTAGTAGTCATGACTTCTATGTATTTAATAGATTCTACCATTGGTGTAATAGGAGAGGAGTTATTCCTACATTTTATTGTTGAATATTCAGAAATTCTGAAGCTGAAGGATCTCATCATCAGATTTACCCGTTTAAACTACCTATAATTATATTTCTTGTATAGAGAATATTAAAATCTGAAGGTTAGAATCATTTATTTTATATATATATCCTTTAGTATTGTTACATTGGCTTAAAATAAAACTTATTAGGCAGCAATAAAGAATCTATGGGCTTTGTAATACTATATCCTTCAATGTATTATACAGATTCATCGTGTAAGCATCAGGCTTAACGAAAGCAGAAATTTTTCACTGAAAAGTAAATTTACTGTCACATAAATTCCTACATAAATCACATTCCTCTGGGAACGAACCAAGTTTACCATTCAAGACTTAGGTATCATTGTCGGTGTTCATTGCACAAGTCACAGCTGAAACGAACCACAGATATACAACAAAACATTGGACCTCCTATTCATCAAAAGAGTACTCCAAAGACAAATAGAGACTTCTTACCTCTTTGCCTCATTAAAAACACAGAGGTTACCATAGGTTTTTCCATCAGAACCGCAGACTGGTTTGTAGACAGATTGACATTTTGTGTTTCTACTTGGGTTTTTGCTGCTGCTACTGCCAGTCTGTAGTAAAGTAAAAAAAATAATTAGATAAGGATGGAAGAGTCCATTTAATTTAGATGTTCTAATAATACATTTTCATTGCTTATTTATTATTAACGAAACATACTTTATCAATAATTGTATCAATCTCTTATATTTAATCCACGCAATAGTGCTAATTAAAATACTGTATATGTGATTCAATTTTTTAGCTACACATAGAAGACAGGCTTGAGGTTATAGTGAATTAAATATCTCAGCTATGACACAAGCCCTGAAGTATTTTATACAAAATCCTATTTTTTTAAAGAAAGGT